CATGAAGTGTAGCTTCTTATTTCCCTCCCTCCAATTATTTAATAAACTATTACTAAAAGAATTGCAAACAGGCCATGTGTTTTCAAATCTCAGAGGCTGATGGCGCAACTATACCGCTTATTTAAATTGCTTTATCTGCCATGGTAAACCATGGAATGGGATAACTCACCACAGCCAACTCCCCACAACCAATTTGCCATGGCCTACTCACCTGTAGGAGCCCAAGGGAGGGGTCAAATGCAATATCAGTCATAAATCTCTGCGCGCCCACAAGAGATCTAAATCCAGTCCATCTTGAATTCCTTTGACTCTTATCTACTGCCAATTCGTTTTGACCACCAGTAGCTCAGATTCTTGTAGAGAGCTTAAGCTTGCAATAAATCTTTATACTCAGTTGAACTGCCTGAATCTCCTGATTTCCCCAGTACTTGACATCATCATGGCCAACTTGTCACAGGACAACTTGCTGCAGGGTTCACCTAGTTCCTTTTATTTTTGTTAACAACATTTTCATCAAAATTATTTTATCTATTGTATCAAAGAAAATCATTCCTATGACTACAGCTTTTGTAATGCTTTGTTGAATAATAAAAGATACTAAACCTGTGTTGAATTGTCCTGCAGTGAGTTGTCCTGTGGTGAGTTGGCCATGGTGAGTTGGTCATGGTGAGTTGGCCGCAGCGAGTTGTCCTAGACCCATAAACCATGCCCTCGTGATATCTCCCTTTGTTAGTCTTTGAAAAATGTTAGCAAACTACAATCAGATTTCTGACCTAATTGGTTATTAAAGTCATAGAAGTTCAATAAATCTATTAGTAGTTTCCAGGCAGAGCTAAAAGTTGTGATCCATCTTGTTTATGAATCTGTCCAAATTTTAGCTAAAATATAGGCTTTCCAATATCCTTACCAACAGACTATTAAGCTACTTTCTTCACTGTCATTTCAATACAAGCTTTGTTGTGGTTGTTAAGAGTGATTTATTCTATATTATCTTCTCATTAGGTTTACCCTTAATAATTATTTTTAGTATATGCAGTATTTTTATCTATTGTTATTGTTACTTGTCTCAAAAACTAGTACAGAAAGGTAGAGAACACATTTAAATAATGCATAAAGAATTCAGGAAATATTTTGTACTGTACTAAAATCATAATTCATTTACAAATAAATATCATAAATAGCCTTGAATAGTATGTGATACGTAAAGGTAAAGAATTTTTTTTAAAAAAACAAACAAACCAAGGTTGCCAATGATCCCTGCCACTACTGCAAGTATAAAAGAGAACCTTTCACACTGACAGTTTTACTATCAAGGGAGTCAAAATTGTGCATTTTTGTGCAAATTAAGAAAAAGATACAAGATTCAGGGTGCAACAAAAATATATATGAAAAGATAGCATTTTAATTTGGAAAGATAATCGACAAAGTGCATTCAAAAACATGATACTGAAGAAAAATTATTTCATTTTCACCTAAAGTATTTTTGCCTAGTTTTTCTAACAAGCTTTTAATTAGTGATAATAGATACCATCTTTTTTCATAGTAAACAAGTACCAATAAGAATAAAATGAACAAGCCAAAAGTAAAGTCTTAAAGCTAATTTCATAAAATTAAATAACATTATTTAATAACATATTACAACCCTGTGTTTGTGTGTGTGTTTGTGTGTGTGTGAGAGGGAGAGGGAGAGTTAGAGGAGGGGAGGGAGAGTGAAAGAAAAACTACCTTTAAGAAACAGAGAATGAGTATTTATCAGGGATTATTTGCCGTTGTCATATAATGAAAATAGTCCTCATTTCTGGAATTTTTAATCACAAAGGCTCTATTTGAAGCATCAGTTAATAAAAAATAAATAAAAGCCACACAGCTCTGTGTATTAATGATTCACCTGTGGAGGTGGTTAGCAGCATCAAGTTTCTGGGTGTACAGCTAATGAGTAGGCGAGCTTGGTCGCTCACTGGTGAAATGGGCACAGCAGTGCCTGCATTTTCTGCGTCGCATGAGAAAAGTACATCTTCCTTTCCCTATCCTTACCACTTTCTACAGAGGGACAATCAAGAGCATCCTGTCATATTGCATTACTGTCTGGTTTGGAAGCATTACTGCTTCAGACAGGAAGGCAGTGCAGAGAGTGGTGAGGATGGCAGGAAAGATGATTGGCAGTTCACTTCCTTCTATCCAGGACATGGCATATAAACTATGCTTGAAGAGTCCGCAGGATGTAGTCTGGGACACTACATGTCCTCTTCATGACATGTTTTCTTTGTTATCTTCTGGGTGGAGGCTTTGTCGTTATCTGAAGCAGAACATCTAGATTCAGTCACAGTTTTGTTCTATATAGCATCAACCTTGTGAACTCTCAAGTTTCCTCTTTCTGCTATGTGTTCAAAATGCACAGTGATTAATACTTATATATTATTTATATGTATGTATATGTGTAGCTCGGTACTCAGCTGCAGAGGCCTTCTGGAAAGGCCTGACTGCGAAATGCAGGCCAGAATGCAGCTGCAGAATGAAGCTGCTCCTCCGGCTGCAGAAGAAGTGGGCTGGCTAGGCTGGGCTGTCGGTGCAGGTGGTGAGTAAAAAAGACTCCACACCCCCCGAAAATAAAACCTGGTGCCTCTTTTGGAGGCAAAAAAAAAAAGACCGGGTTTTATTTTTGGGGAAACACGAGTACATATGTATACATGTATGTATATGTATGTATGTATATGTGTGTGTATATATACATATATGTATATACGTATGTGTGTATGCATGCATATATGTGTGTGTATGTATGAATGTAGCATGTGTATGTGTGCGTTATGTATGGGTATGTGTAGACAATCATTTAAATATGAGCCAGCAGTGTGCTGCAGCTGCCAAAAAAGCCAACACAGTGTTAGGCTACATTAACAGAGGGATAGAATCAAGATCACGTGAAGTATTAATACCACTTTACAATGCCTTGGTAAGGCCACACTTGGAATACTGCATCCAGTTTTGGTCACCACGATGTAAAAAAGATGTTGAGACTCTAGAAAGAGTGCAGAGAAGAGCAACAAAGATGATTAGGAGACTGGAGGCTAAAACATAAAAGGAACGGCTGCTGGAATTGGGTATGTCTAGTTTAACGAAGAGAAGGACGAGGGGGGACATGATAGCAGTGTTCCAATATCTCAGGGGCTGCCACAAAGAAGAGGGATCAAGCTATTTTCCAAGGCGCCTGAAGGCAGGACAAGAAGCAACGGGTGGAAACTAACCAAAGAGAGAAGCAACTTAGAACTAAGGAGAAACTTCCTGACAGTTAGAACAATTAACCAGTGGAACAACCTGCCTCCAGAAGCGGTGAATGCTCCAACACTGGAAGTTTTTAAGAAGAAACTGGACAGCCATTTGTCCGAAATGGTATAGGGTTTCCTGCCTGAGCAGGAGGTTGGACTAGATGACCTCCAAGGTCCCTTTCAACTTTATCATTATTATTATTATTATTATTATTATTATTATTATTATTATTATTATTATTATTATTATTATTATTATTATTATTATTATTTACTTTCTTTTGAGAGCAGGCAACAGAATTTCATTTTTAATGTGGGCCAGTGTGCTAACACTAAAAAAACATCAATAAAGATGATCTTATCTTATCTTATCTTATCTTATCTTATCTTATCTTATCTTATCTCATCTCATCTCATCCCATCCCATCCCACCCCACCTCACCTTACTTTACCTTATTTAACCTTACCTTACCAAATTAATGCCTGTGTTATTAAAAATTCTAACCCCTATTCCTACCATGGAGTTCCATCTTGTTCAAAAATTTCTCCTTTTTCTCATATAACCATCAGCTTACTACTTAGATTATGAAAATAGCAATCAAACAATGTTTAAATAATTAATGAGTTAGACAATAGAGAATAATAAATTGCTTACTTTTGCAAAGCAAATTTGGTTATTATATTTCAACATTTGCTTTGAATGACCAGTTTCCTTGAGGAAAAAAATGGGTTTTGATAACAGTAATAAAACATTTTTTACCAATAGACGAGAATATATATAGCTCAGGACTAAACTGTACAACACTAATGGTGTTACCTAGTTAGGTAATAAAACCTCTGCAAGCAAACAACCAAGCTCAGAGAGTACCAAGGACTCCACAAAATATTTTTAATAAACACTGTTAGTTCTTTGCCAATAATAAGCAATTGCTAAAACTACTGTTGGGGTGATTCACAGCAGTAGCTGATGCAGAAGTGTGTGACTGGCAAGAAAAATTATCCAAGAGCTGTAGGAACATCAGGGACTTTTTAGCATGGAAAAAAAGACTGAGTAAAAGTGAACATATCACAGAAATAAGCTAGTACACATTATATGAAGCAAATAGACAAAACTGTTTTTCTTTCTCTTTCAATTTGAACTGAGATCATCCAAAGATCCTAAATGGACAGAGAGACTTTTTTATGCAACATATGCTTAACTATATAATTGTCTTCACCAAGATGTATCAATTACTATCACCTGAATGACTTTAAGTATCAATGACAGCAATTAATGGAGGAGGATACAATAATGGATATTATTGAAGTGGCAACCTCTCTTGTGCACAAAGTGTTCTTTCTCTGGGATTATTTCTTGAGAAATATGAGAAGGAAAGTGCTATTATTCAGTTTGTAAGATTCCTACAGACATCTGGATGGCCAACATGTGAACAGAACAAGACTGGACAGGTCTTTCAAATCTAGTTTAGTTTTCATCTGTTTTTAATCCCTTAGAGTTAAAACCACATTGGAAATATGCTAGATCTGAAAGGAAAAAAAAACATTCTGCAAGAAGGCAATGCAAACCATTCCCTTATCACTACCAAGAAAACTACATGAATGTGTCCATGTAAGTCACCAGGACTGGCATATGATTAAAAGCAATTTATTTTACAAGTTATGTTTTTTCATTCTGTGAATTTGTGGATATCAGATGTAGATTATTTTATAAGAAATTTCAATATTGCTTTTCACCTTTTGTAGAAAGAGAACCACCCATTCAAGCATCTTGGCATGCATTTCTTCCAACGTGAAGAGTGTTCGTGGTGTGCGAATAAAAATCTTTGTCTTTCCATATGCCACATCATCCTGAAACCCACAGTGCTCAATCAATTTCTTCACAGCCTCCTTGTCAGATGGTAGTTTGTGATTTGGCCAAGTAAATTCAGGAATTATTTTGTACCTGCATTGATACAAATATTTAAAAAAAAAACATTGCTTGCCAGTACTTAATGCGATGGTCAGTAATATGGCAAAAAGGTCCACAACAACCCAAATTATCTTGCCAAAATAGATTTCCCATAGAAAGAAAATAAATATACAACCTTGATATATAATTAGGGAATCTTAAACATGTATTACAAAATGCTAATGTGTAATAACTGAAATATCTCTAATCCTTGATTTGTTATTCAATAGTTTACTGTACAAGCTACAATTTCCTAAGTCACAGAATAAATGATATGCAAACTAAATTGTTGGGTTTGCATATAAGCCCATCTTCAGATAAGACAAACATTATTTTTTCAGTGCATTTTGGCAATTAAAATTCTCAGCTTATTTGCAAATATATATATAAGAAGGTATATATATAATACCTTCTAATAGACTGGATAACTAACAAAGCTAAAAGGAATTAATGATATTAAATTAAGCTAAGATTCAAGTGGATCTGGCTGAATGATTTAATCATGTTTTAGAAATCATAATTTTAGCATGTTCTAGTTTTTGCCAAACAATTCTAAATAAGTATAGTCAGTGAGAGATGTTGCTTTAGTTGATAGAGAGTTGAGCCTTGAGTAAGAAAAGGATTTATAAAAATTGTTCCATTTGGATTTAATGTGTAATACATTTTAATAAAAGGTCTGTGTAAAATTCTTTAGACATCCCATGAAACTCCTGCTCTTCCATAAAAACACATCTAGAACACTAAAAAATGGTATCAAATAGGTTTTTCTTTAGCTGTTCTCACTAATCTTGGTAATATTTCTCTTAAAGTTACTTTAAGACATAACTGTGATTTGTGTAAGAATGCTAATGTAGTGTCAAGCCACAAACATATTTTTGTTGTTCAATATAATAAATCTGCAAAATTTTCATCAATTGTTACCTGTGAAGAAATTTTTCGTACGTTTGGCGATAGGCATATCCTGCCCGCCGTACTCTTACATTTTCCAAAAGTCCAAGATATTCAACTTGATGCTTGCATCGTTCTTCATCAAACAGCTGTGGTGACTTCTTGTCATTGGGTTTAATGCAACGGACATAGTATGGTTCCTAAAAGAAAGCAACCAGAAACAACAGTATTTGAATTAACAGATAAAGTAAAAGAGTAAGGTGAAAGCAAGTTAACATCCCAATTCTTTAACTATTGTTAAGGAAGTAGGACCCCTAATCTTTTCCTATAAAATCCCATTAGAAAAACAAGCCTATATTTTCCTAGAAATTACATGAAATAATAAAAGATTTCCTTTCAGATCTTTCATGAATTTCCAGAATGCAAATAACAGATCCTAGTTATCCCAAAAATGCTTTTTCATGAGGAAATGGACTTTCTTGTTTTTCTTTGAAGATGTTTAACTTCTCATCCAAGAAGCTTCTTCAGCTCTGACCGGATGGTGGGGCATGGAAAGATTTATACTCCTTGCAGACCGCTGGTCATTTGCATTCTTTTAGCGAGTAGTTAGTGCTACCTGGAGGCTTATCTGTGTCTTCAGGGTCACCTGAGTAGTGCAAATGTGTGTGGAGCCTTCTTGGAACTGTTGAAAGGACTGTGTTGTAGACTGGAGATAGATGATGTTATCTATCTACAGTCTATGAGAAATGGGATGGCTTGTACGAAGAAAATAGACTTAAATATTTAAATGTAATCAACTTTGAGAAAATCTTAACTACTAAGAATGTTTTGAACACTGTGGAGAAAACAAATTTAAATAAGAATTGTAAACAGGATTTATAACGAGGCAACCAAGATGTCTAGCTAGAAAAGAAGCATTATATGGATGTGATTATTATTTGTAGAAATGTTGGAAAAATCTTTATACTTAACTTAATAGTTACCTATCAAAATAATAAGAATTGTATTAATTCAAGGTTGGCAAAGAGAAAATTATTGGAAGAAGAGAAAATCAAACAAAGCTACTATGTGGATTATAGATTATAGAAACTAATGGTTAGTGATTGTTTAATATAAACCCAGACAACACGCTGTTTACCAAATATTATAGTGATTATGTTAAAAAAATCAATGAAATATATTTACAAAAAAAGAGAACTTCCTGAGACTACTACAGGCATCCAGCAAAAAAGTCATTGGTTTTCTAGCTTAGTCAATATGAAATTTAATATCCTAATCAATTGCTACCATTTCTTACTATTCACTCTCATTTTAAGATTGCCAGTCTGCAATTATAAAAACTATAGTTGGCAGAATTTTGCCTGCTATGCAACTCTTAGAAATAAAGAGGTCATTATCCCTAAGAAGTATTGAACATCCTATGTAGTAGCAGGAGTGTCAGCCATGAGAGAATCCAACGTTCTCAAAGGCAATATCTTTATTATGAGAACTTCTCAAAAAACAGTTGCCAGCCAGTAAGAAAAAGAAGAGAGGGAAAACAAAGAAAAAATTTGACCAATATATTTTTTCTTCTGCCAAGACTGATCTAGCTTTTAACCTAATGAAAGAGACTAATTCTGTTGGCTTGTTAGTTATTATCTCTTTCTCTTTTTTAAATCAGTTAAGAAGCTAAACCGAGAGCACAGATCTCTGCTGGAAATGGGTTTGAAAGATGGTAGGAAAATTCCCCTATTTGCAAAATTCCCAACTGTCATTTAAATAAAAAACCTTTATTGAGGCAAAATAAAAAAAGCTAGTTCCTAATCATTTCTGAAATCATTTCCTCAAACGTTTGTCCTTTTATTTTATGAAAGGCCTGCTCTGTTTTTTTAAATTATGCATATACATAGGTTAAGCCTTTCTATTTAGATTAATTCCCAAAGTTGCTGTCAAAATTTAAAAACGAAAAGAATATAGAAATATAAAATAAATAAATTAAAATAATGAATTTAATACAATTGATACAATTTTTACAGCGACTGTGTTGGACAGAACAACACAGAAGAAGGCTGTCTCCTAAATGTCAAAAAGATACACCTTTGATAGAGGTTGTATCTTCAAAAAAGCCCCTTCTTTGGATCTTAAGAGCCATTTGTGATGGCCCTATAGATGCTGGATCCCTAACCCTAACCCATTCCTTCTTAACCCCAGGATGTAAGACATCTCCTATAAATTCAGACTCAATACTGCTAACTAAAGAAAACTTATTTATGTTTCCAGGACAAAGAGAAGTGTGTTAATTTAGTGTTAAAACACACTGCAATTATTCATCTATAATAACAACATTTTTAACCCTCTTTTTTTCATCATTAAAAGAAATCCCAAGCAGCACTGAGATAAATCAGTCAGAAACTTGAAGAATTGCTGCCACTTAGTGTAGGCAGTATTATTAGCTGGACCATGGTCTGATTGATTCAATAGAACAAGATGATTTACTATGTTCTTATTTTAGAAGAGTATTTTTTCTTGAAAAAATGTATTAAAATTTATTATGAATCATGGTGTCAAAATATACTATACATTCTTTTATCTTAAGTACTGTATATTTATCATCAAACATTACACTAAACAAAAAAGCACAGATACAGGGAAGTTGACAAGCTGCACCCTTTACTGTAACTTATTTATCTCTTCCTCTCTGGGAAAATTCCCACAGATACCCATAATAGTAAATAGGGCCACAATACTTCATAAGGCAAATATGGATATTTATAAAAATGAGATCAGTGAAAGAGAAGTAATCCTTCACCAAAATAGAGTAAAGGGAAGAATATGTTTTTCTGAAGAAAGGATGAAAGTTAACCAAATTATTCATTACTAAATAAATAGGTAAAATAGATTTAACTGATGAGTTCAGCCACTATATTTCTTAAGACATTCAAAACCATAAAACAGAAAGAATAAACTCAAAAGGAGTCTCTTTTGAGAAATGCTAGTCTACAATTTTTATAATCAAAAATTATGTTCCACATAAAAATTGTTTTACATTTAAACCCTCGAGTAAAGTCTTGAGGAATGTTATTCTCCTTTTTATTTCAGGCTTTGCTCCATGCCATTCCTTTTGTGTGTTTATTTTACTATATTTTATTTATCCCCTTCTCATACCTGGAATATCAAAGTCTTAGCTTAGCATATGTTCCCATTGGTAAATAATATTTTGGGTTTGCTCCAGTTGGCCAACTGCACTATGGAAACAGGAAAGGGCTGCTTCAGATTATCTTCAGTAGAGATTGCCACTATAAAAGGTAAGTTATTTTCCTACCTTTAAAATATTAACTCCTGGATAAAACACTGAGAACAATATAGTACCCCCTGGAAACTACTGAGATCATAGTAAGATACTTAATTGTACCACATCTATAAATAGCTTTTTGCTGTAGTACCTATTCTTAGAAATGTTCCCCCCCACACAAATAAATCATACACTGACTTAGCTACAATTCAGACAGATGTTAAGAACAGCTTTATTCTCCTCAGCATCTACAAGTTCACAATGGTGCAGTTGAACTGTTTATAACTACAGATGATTTTTTTAATTAGATCATTTTATATATGGCACTAGTCAAAAAGTCTAGGGAAATTTTTTTAAACATGCTGCATCAAGAAATGTGAACCATTTACATTGACAGATTTGTTCTTTGTTTGCTGTTTGTGTTCTTTTGCAGAAAATATATATCCTGGGCTTGCATTATTATTACCTATTCCAAATGTTTGTGTCATGTTCTGAGTTCTTGTGTGATCTGGGCTTGGGGAACACAGATTTTACTCCCTTCTCATAAGCAGATCACACTCTGTAATCTTGGAGTTTTCTCAATGCCAGAAGGAAGATGAATGCTGGAAGTATTCTTTAATATTCTGATCCCAAAATGTCCTATTGAAATCTTACACTGGATTTTGTTGCTGATAGGTTCAATGCAAGAGTGACTTCGCAAGTAGCAACAGTAATGAAATAACAGGTAGCTGTCAAAGTTCACCTTTCCTGAGTTAGGAACTTCTTACCTTGGATGCCAAGTTGTCCACTAAGGCAATCATTGAGTTCTTAAAAAGTGCAGCAGCAGTCAGTGGCCGCTTGGTCACTTCTGTTATACTCAGTTTGCCTTCTGGCCACATCTTTTTCAGCACAGGGTTGGAGCTACAAAATACAAGAAAGAATTAAAAAAAAGACAGCAATATAGTCATATTTGGCCTATTCTGCATAAAGAAACAAATGGATAGTTAAAGTTATTCTTACCTGTTATACATCAAACGCTTGAAGTCTTGAAATAAAGTGTCCTTATTTTTATCAATGAATCCTGTGACTGAATAACTGGTAAATAATAAAAAAAGGTAATTAGCTGCACTGAAATACTAGCTAGCTACTGAGATAAAATTATTACTTGGACTTAGAAAATAAGAGAAAAATAGATAAATAGAAATCAACAAAATAGAAGTCAACATCAATAGAAATCAACAAAAATTAAAAATCTAAAAAGTCTCATGGAAATGAATAATATTCAAATCACAATGTTAAGAAAAAATAGCTTTTAAATATTCTCCCTTCAAGAAGCAATGTACAGTTTTTCAATACTTTAAGTCAAAGGACAGTAAATATTGCTCCTGCTCTTCTTCATCATCAGTGTCATCTTTAGTGTTTTTTTAAAAGAAAATTTTATTGATTTTCTAGTTTTACATTTAAATATTTGAAAAGCAACGTGGTGGCTGAGTTAATCGATAATTCAGTAACATACAAGTATCTTTAGTACAGATCTCAAATTATTACATTCAATATTTCCTCTCTTTTCCCCTTAGTATTTACTGTCTCATATTTAAACTAATACAATTCTTATTATATCGATTAAATAAAAAAATAACTTTCTTACATTTGTCAATAATTTTAGTTTACACATATCCTAATTATTTTAACATTCAATCTTTATAGACAATCAATGTCTTAATTAGTTTTTTCTAATTTTTAGTTTCCCATTAATATTTAAATTTAACATTTAACATTTATAATTTCCAAGTTTTAAATAACCCCAGTTCCCTTTATCACAATTCATCACAAGATCTAATGTTCAGGATACACGTCTTATCTATCTGAATATATTCTATTTCTCAACATCTTACATCAATTAATTAATAATATAATATAACATTCTTATTTTCTGTTAATTTCTAAACATCTTAAATTTAGTAATCAAAATTTCTTTTATTTCAACATTTAATATTCCTCTCTTTTTCTCTTGATATCTACTATCTCATGTTTAAGCTAATTGTTTTTATTATAACAACTAAATAAAAACATATTTATATTTATCAATAGATTTTTAGCTTATATATATTTTAATTACTTTTACATTTAATCTTTATAAGCAAATCAATATTCAAATTTAACTGTTAGTGTTTATACTTCCAAGTTTTAAATATCTCAGCTCATAACAAAATCTAGTATTCAAAATACGCATCTTATCTATTTGAGTATGTTCTATTTTAATTCTCACTAATAAGTCAAAACCCCAATTTTCTTCAGTCTTATTCTAGCTTTCTTTCTTTGCCAACTCGTCTTCCATGTCTATGCTTTTAAGTCATCAAGTACATCTCCCTGTGTTGTTATGTATATTGTTTGAAATAGAAAAGCCATCCGGTCACCATTTTTTTTGAAAGGATTAACAAATCGTTTCTCTATTTTTCCATCTCAACGTAGTTGTCCTGAACTGTTTGTCTTCTCTTCAGTCTGTTCTTCTTCTTGATCCTCAGGCTTCTTCTGGTTTATATAGAAAGTCTTTTCCCTTTTCCATGTTGTCAGTCCCTTTTCTGGGTTTTCCATTATCTGTGTTTGTTGATCAGTTGAATCTTCTGTCATAGTATTTAATTGTTTCACTTCTTCTATTATATTCTGTGTAGTTGATTTTTTAGTTGTGATCAAAGTCTGGGTTCATATATCTAGGCTGACATCTTGTTCTTTTCTGTAGCTTCTTATTTTCTCAGTAGCTATAAGAATAGTTTCATAGATTGCTTTCAACATAAAGAGAATCTGTTCCTGATCTTCATCCATGTTTTCTTAGTAGTGTGCTAAGTTAAAAGCTTTACAATCAGAGAATGAAAAAGCTTTTTTGTCACTGAGTATAGAACACAGCTGGGCTTCTCGCAGCTGATATCTGTCAAGGTTACAAAAGTCTTATCTATAGTCTGGGCTATAAGTCAAGTCTCTTTTAAGCAATAACAAGTTGTAATATCAGGTTACAATAATAATAATAATAATGATAAAGTTGGAAGGTACCTTGGAGGTCATCTAGTCCAACCCCCTGCTCAGGCAGGAACCCTATACCATTTTGGACAAATGGCTGTCCAGTTTCTTCTTAAAAACTTCCAGTGTTGTTGCATTCATTGCTTCTGGAGGCAGGTTGTTCCACTGGTTAATTGTTCTAACTGTCAGGAAGTTTCTCCTTAGTTCTAGGTTGCTTCTCTCTTTGGTTAGCTTCCACCCGTTGCTCCTTGTCCTGCCTTCAGGCGCTTTGGAAAATAGCTTGACTCCCTCTTCTTTTTGGCAGCCCCTGAGATATTGGAACACTGCTATCATGTCCCCACTCGTCCTTCTCTTTGTTAAACTAGACCAGAGGTCGGCAACCTGTGGCTCCGGAGCCGCATGTGGTTCTTTGAGCCTTTCCCTGCGGCTCCCAGCCTCCTCTGCCATTTGCAGAGAGAGACAGAGAGAGGCACTTCCCTTCCTTCCCTTCTCTCTCTCTCTCTCTCTCTCTCTCTCTCTCTGTGTGTGTGTGTGTGTGTGTTTGTGTGTAAAAAAGAGAGTGGACTCACAGTGTTCTCCAAGGAGCTGAAAAGTTTATTGGGCGGAGCTCCTCCCTTTGCTGCATCTCTGCAGGAAACAGGAAGCAGGAAGGGCAGGAGAGAGCTAGCTAGCCCAGCTATGCTGACTCAGGAATTCTGGGAGTTGAAGTCCATGAGTCATAAAAGAGCCAAGGTTGCCTACCCCTGAGCTTGTTGGAGAACAGCTTGAAGCCAGCTTGCCAGGTGAGCAGAAGATCGCAGAGAGGGAGAGGGAGAGAGAGGGAGAGGGAGGGAGAGGGAGAGAAGGAGAGAGGGAGAGGAGAGAGAGACACCCTTTTGACACACACACACCTATAATAAAGGTAAAAAAGGATATATGCAGTGTTAGCTTCATTTTAGATACCAAAAGGGTTTTGCGGCTCCCAGTGTTTTGTTTTTGGTGGGAAACGGGTCCAAGTGGCTCTTTGAGTGTTTTGGGTTGCCTACCCCTGAATTAGACATACCCAATTCCAGCAACCGTTCCTTATATGTTTTAGCCTCCAGTCCCCTAATCATCTTTGTTGCTCTTCTCTGTACTCTTTCTAGAGCCACAAGATGTCACCCATACCATTTAGAGTTTTCTTTTAAGTCCAAACTTTTTATAGTCTTTTCAATTTTACTTCTTTTTTATAAGTAAAAAGCCAGATCTTCAATAAGAATAAAAAAATATTTTAGTCCACAAATTTTAAAACAATAAAAATCCAATTAGAATCAAGTTATTCTTGCAACATTTTAAACTCCCCTGGATAGTCAGTTGCCGCTGTTTTTAGAGGGTGAGATAGAATCTCTCTTCTCTCTCCACAGGGGGAAAAGTACTTTGAGCAGCTTATGCAGGTAGAAAAAACAGTTAGGATTTAAGAGAGGTAGATCTCACCCAGTCTTATCTGCGCTGCTTTATAGTTGCCTGGTGGTGAATTTGACTTCAGCTGTCTGCAGCCTAGTGACAAGCCATATTTCTATGGCAGGTCTTTCGTCCACTGGTTTGGAGGGCTGCCCCGGATCGAGCGGAAGGGATACCACCCTCCCATGATCACACGGGGATCCCCTCCTCGCTGGTCTCCCCTACAGGGCGATTTATGACCCTTTCCAGGGTCCCCCAGCAGTGCGAAATTATACATGGAAGACGGAGCTCGCCTTCTAAACGTCTGTGGTAGCCGCGTTGGCAAACTGGAAGTCCATCTTTAGGGGTTTTAGACACTTATAATGCAAGTGGTCCAAAGTGAACAATCAAGAGGTAATTTTAGTTGTTTACAATGCCACTTTGCAATCTCAGGTAATCCAACTTTCCCCTGCAATGATTAAGTGGCTTGAGGACTTCACTAGCAATAAATTGATTTAAAATATTTATATCTCTTAATCATGTATGACATACAAAAAGGCTTTAGTTTATCATGGGAATAAGTGTCAAAATTATACCTCTGCCTTAACATTTTCCAAATATGTTTTGTACACCTTAATGCAGGAAATACAATAGAATTATACCTAAATATAAAACCAAGCTATCAGCTTAACTTCAAAAAAGGAGTACATAATAACTATCTTTTTAGTACCATCACAGTTTTCTATTAGTCACCATGACTTCATAAAAAAGTCTTTGCTGCAACTAAACTGACAATGCATTATTACCAAATCATATTTTAAAAATGCAAAACTAAATTTGTGCAATATAGAAGGAATTTTGAATGGAGAACTGGAGTATCATATATTACCAAATAAATGGTATCAGGTTTTAAGAAAGGTTAAACATGTTTGTTATCATTGAAAAAGCAGCAAAAAAGAACAAAAACCAAAACTAAACATTCCTTAAATTGTGCTTTGCCTTAAAGCTGCTGTTTTAGCTGAAATGACTGTTTATGCTGCTTTGGAGGATGGCAAAGTTGTATTTCTATTCTTCTCATGTTTTCATATTTATCATTATGCCTTTTATTTACCTTAACTTCACAGCATACATTTAAATTGGGTAGGAGAGAGGCATATTTATATTTCTGTAGTATAAAGGCTATACTACTAGAACTACCTTCTGTACTATTAAGTACTGGATTAGCATTATCAACTCTATCAATAGTGTCCTAAGTGTCAGCAGAGGTTTTTTTTTTCCAATTCTTAAACTGGAAATATCGGGACGTATTTGGGTTGGACTTTCAAATCACATATTCTCCCAATAATCAATGTCCTAATTTTCCACAACCATGCAAAACTCATAAATAACTGTTTATACCATAGTATACACCAGTGATTGCGAACCTTTTAGAGACCGAGTGCCCAAACCGCAATCCCAAACCCCAAACCCAGAGCCGCATCAGCACTGTGGTGCCCTCAGGGGGGGCGAGGGGTGTGGCCCACTGGGTGGGCGTGGCTGCAATGTTCACGGCAGACTGAATGGGCATGGCTGGGGTGGGTGTGGCCACCTTGATGTTGCTTATGGGGGGATGCCTGTGGGGGCTGGGCAGTATTGGGGGAGATCCAGGGGGTCTCTGGTGGGTGGTGTGGTGGGCAGGAGGCTCGTCCTGTGGGGTGAGGCAGGGGGTAGGGCGGGGGTGCCATTGCTGCGGGGCAAGGCAAAGCAGGGGCGGCTGCTGCCTGACACCATCAGCTCCCCCACACAGAGGCCAGTGAGCACATGGGGGCGTGCTTTACTACCTCTACTCGAGCTTGCTAGCCAGCTGCTTTGCCTCTTTTGTGTTGGGTGGGGCTGCTACTCCGGGCACCAGCGGTGGCCTAATGCAGGACTTTTCAACCGGTGGTACGTGTACCACTTGTGGTACATTAATGAATGGCAAGTGGTATGCAGCCCTGCCTAGCCAAGTATAGTGGGGGATGGAAAGAGCCAGCATAGGCAAGGACTTACAGTGAGAGAGTCCTCTGGAGCTGCAAAGGCCCCAGGTTCACTTCTGGCTCACCCTCCCCCATGAGAAAGGGGAGCAGAGACAGGAGAGGCTATAAAAGGAGGCAGTTTGGGCAGCAGAGGGAGAGAGAGAAAAAGCAGCAGCCTTGGGAGGAGGTGGAGTCAGCTGCACAGAAGGAGGAGGAGGAGGAGATGATGATGATGATGATCAAGCAGGCTGGCTATGAGCCGATCTACAACTGCTGTGGCAGCCACCTGTGCTGGCAGCAGCAAACAGGCAAGAAATGCAGTGGGGGAGGGGTCGCCCTCCAAGAGGAATGAAAAAAGGCAGCAAAAGGGAGATGGAGATGGAGAGTGGAAGGATTCTTATGTGCTTTTGTGACTTTGATGTTCTGGGATTTGTGCAATGTGGGCTTTGTGTTCTTAAGGAGTGTTTGGCAATTTCTATTTGGCTGATGTCTCGTGTTAGCTTCTATTGCTCTGCTGTTGTTAGCTGTAAGTTTTGCTGCAAGGGATTTTGAAGTATTTTTCTCCTGAATGGATTTTGCCTGTAGCATTCCTTTACTTATGAATGGAGCCATTTGGGGAGACTGCCTTAGCCGGCAGCCAGTACTTACTTTTTTTTTTCTTCCTTAAGTGCCGGCTGCGCTCCTTACTTTCCTTTCTAGCCAGTAGCTAATTCTTAAAGGGGAATGTGCCCTTTTAAGGTAGTTCACTCAGCAGCTTGTCTTTTCTGTCTCTGGAGGCCTTTTCTTGTTTGATCAATATATGGAAGAGGGAAAATATGGGGGGGGGGTGTTCAAATTCTTCCTTCAGAAGGAGATGGGAATGAGAAAAAGGGAGGCAGGGAAGGGAGGAAGGAAAGGAAGTCCCGCCTTAGCACTTGGCCACCAGCAGCTCTGCCATTGACTTTGCTTGTCAAAAGGTTGCAGGAGGGGATCACATGACCCTGGAACACTGTGACCATTATAAATATGAATCAGTTGCCAAGCATCCAAATATAAATCACATGACCCTGGGCATGCTGCAATGGTCATAAGTGTGAAAAACGGTCATAAGTCATTTCAGTACAATTGCAACTTTGAACAGGTGGTTTTTTTTGGGTCATCAAGTTTTTGACACCTTGCTAGGTGGTACTCGAATATTGCCATATCCTAAAAGTGGTACAATCGGTAAAAAGGTTGAAAAATGGCCTGGCCTAATGTACCTATGCTAGTTGCTGGCGGTGGCAGCAGGTGTGCCCACAGAGAGGGCTCTGAGTGCCGCCTCTGGCACGCGTGCCATAGGTTTGCCATCACTGGTATACACCATAGCAATTAAGATATATTATTACAATTGAGACCTAAATCCCAGGAACTAACTGTTTTAGGTCAGTTACTCTCATTCTCAGCACAATGTATTTCACAGAGTTGAAAAGGAGTTCAGGTTCAATCTATCTTAAACTTTTGGAGAAAAGAGAGAGAGAGGAGGAGGAGGAGGAGGAGGAGGAAGAGGAAGAGGAGGAGAATATACCATCATGCATGGAACAATAAGGCAGGAAATGGAGCAGGTGTTCTCAATAAGATGTCTGGATTTTTATAGCACAATATAGTATATACACTACACCAGGGGTGGGGAACCTTGGCTCTTTTATGACTTGTGGACTTCAACTCCCAGAATTCCTGAGCCAGCCATGCTGAGGGGAAAGGGAGAGGTTTCCAAGCAGAGCCATGCTGGCTCAGGAATTCTGGGAATTGAAGTCCACGAGTCATGAAGGGGCCAAAGTTTTCCCCATGCTGGCTCAGGAATTCTGGAAGTTGATGTCCACGAGTCATAAAAGAGCCAAGGTTGCCTACCCCTGTGCTACACCAATCATTTGGATATCACAATGAAATAATTTCAGATGTTTTCCTACATTGCAAAAAAAGCAAAAGGAAATATAGAAGGAAAAACAAAGTGCAACTATAATTATGCAACTATGCATTTATAATATTTTAATATGAATCAGGACAACAAATACGAGAAACAAACTTACATAACATCTCCAGCATAATGTTTAATCCGAAAGTCTCTATCAAATTCCAGGTTTTTATCCATAGCACAAAGCTTAAAAACAAATGGATTAAAAAGTAATTATTGAAATGCAATTGCTGGTAACTTTCAGCAGGTTTTCAGTAACAGATCTGAATGAAGTCTAATTATTGCTACATCTAGTTGTGAAAGCTCCTTCCTTAATGCAGATGCTATACAAGCTTCTGTAAGACAAGACAGTATCTTTCTTAGCGATTTGATACAACTTAGTGATAGAACACATGGGAAACAAATGCACATGATATTTACTAAGGGCTCTTTTCACAAAACGTGACCTTTACAAAGGGCTTTTTTTCATTTAAAAAAACATCTGGTGAATTAAATACAAAAAAAAGTGTAAAACATTTTATATGCACACATCAGTAAGTATATCAGTTAATATAGAACTGTGATGATGGATATAGCCTTCTCAATATTTCCATTATTGCTTTTAGTAAGGTATTGAAATACAACTTGTTTGATTGACCCTATCTGACTCTATCTGACTCTTCATTCTATTTCACTTTTTGAAACATTGACCTCTACATGGGGCTTCCCTTGAGGAGCACCCGGAGGCTCCAGTTGATCCAAAATGCGGCCGCGCGGGCGGTGTTGGGAGGGACTCGTCACTCCCACGTTACGCCGCTTCTGCGCGAGCTGCATTGGCTACCGGTGGCCTTCCGGGTGCGCTTCAAGGTGATGGTTATTATCTTTAAAGCGCTCCATGGCACCGGACCTGNGTTCCAGCAAGCGGGACTGGCCTAGGGGATTTTATAGGGGTTTTAATTACTTTTAAATTTGACATTCTCAAATATTTCATTTTAATTAAATTTTAACTAGGTGTAATATGTTAGCTTTTTATCATTTGTCAGCCGCCCTGAGTCCGAAAGGAGAAGGGCGGGATATAAATACAATTAATAATAATAATAATAATAATAAGAAATGTGCATTTAAAAATACAAATCTATACAGTAAACAAAATATGAAATACATGGAAGAAGTAGGATTCATATATCTACAGAAATGAAAAGAAGATATAAGCCACACTTTAATTCTAAGACTGAGATGAAAAATTGAAATTATTAAAATCATCAATTCTAATTATTGGAAAAGGAAGGAGACAAGCTTGATCTGTAATTCCAAATGAGTTATGCTGCCAAACCACAATCATGCAGTTTTCACTGAAAACAGAACGTACTTCTCAATGCAGAAGTATTAATTTATAAGATGATTTTCTGCATAATGTTATGCATTTGTCTATTTAATTCAATAATCAATCAACACATTTAACTGCGTGATAATGCTTGTTAAATCATCTTCAACTGTACTGCAGTTTGAACAATATTTCCTTCATTTAGTTTAATTTTGACAATGAGAGCAGATGAGTTATATGCTGATCAGTTTTGTATAGCATGGCAAACCATTGTTTATTCTACCATGAAGGAACATGACCTCCCTCCCATTTCCTCCAACACAGGCACAAAAAAGAATATCAGATGCTTTCAATGTCTGCTTTTACCAGATGCTTTCAATGTCTGCTATCTTATTTAAAATTGTAATTAATTTTTACAATTTTTGACGAATCTAATTTTATAATATATAGCTTGAACTCATTTAGTCTGTCAGTTTCAAATAAAGCATCAAATTATAATGAATGAAAAATGGAAATGAAAATCTTAGATTTCAGGTATGCTAGAAGATAAATCCAGTATGATTTTGATAATAATTATGATGATGATCGCCAAACTAATCAAATATACAGTGTCTTTCAAAAGGTCATTTTCATGCATGTTTCACAGGAGTGGATCAAAAGAGCTTACCACTGCCACGAAGCTCTTATTTTACATTTGCTTGGGGGCTTTTTATTCTGTAAGAAGCTTAATATTGTAGTTCTATTGTGTTAAATTTGGAGACAATATTATCAAATACATGTTAAAATTGTTTTACATTTTACATCTTATCATGAAGAATTTCATCAGATTCATTAGTTTAAAAGTGCTATTGAAGTTAATTATTATGGTTCATCGCACAGTCAACCAAGGTGTTTAGACTGGATTTGACATTTTTATCCTCCCACAGAATCCTTTTCAAGGATTGGGAATAGGGAGATATTGTTTTTTAATGGTGTTAAAAATACTGTTGCAGGATGTAAACTGTTCCAAGTAAAATCGCCTTTTCCAATTGACTATATTTCTGTCGCACAGTCAGCTAGATGTTCAGACTGGATTTGGCATTTTTGTCTACCTATCAAGTCTTTTCCAAGGATGTTAGATGGTGTTGCAGATATCGTCGCAGGATGTAAGCTGTTTTAAGTAAAGCTGTCTTTTGTAACTGACTGATGGTGAATTTGTCAATGCCAATGGTGTTCAGATGCTCTGGAATTGAACCCAAGGCTCTATTACTACTGGTACTACCTTTGCTTGCTTTTGCCAGTCATTTTATTTCTATTTGTAGGTCTTTGTATTTTGCGATCTTCTGAACTTCTTTCTCTTCTATTCTGCTGTCTCCAAGTATTGCCATTGCCACTATCCAGATTTTTTTTTAATCTTTCTTATCGACAATTGATAAGTCTGGGGTGTTATGTGGCAAGGGCCTATCTCTTTGAATTTTAAAGTCCCAGAGCAATTTAACTTCTTCATTTTCTATGAATTTCTCTATTTTATGATTCTGTCAGTCCTTGCTTGCAGGCAAATGATATTTCTTACAGATCTTCCAATACAGCACTGTTTATTATTATTATTATGGCTAATCTTCAATTTGATTCACAGGTCAGGGGCTGGTAAAAACTTAACAGTTCAAATCCTAACCAAGGACCTAAGAGTTGTTAAAAGTAGTGTCTGAGTATATAGGCAGTTTTGAGTAAGGTGGTTTTTTGCAGTCAGGACATTCAGAACTAATAAGTTCAAAATTTCCATGTATCTAGGCAGCTCATGTATTTCCATGTATCTAGGCAGCGCTTTGAGTATTGCTCCTATTACTATTGGTACAACCACTGATTTCTTCCTCTATAGCCACTCGACTTCAGTTTGAAAATCACAATATTTTGTTATTTTTTTCTAGTTGTTTCTCTTCAATTCGTGCATCACCTGGTATTGCAATACCAATGAACCAGACTTTCCTCTTTTCCACAATAGTGATGTCTGTCTGTTTGGATCCAAAAGTCCACAGGATCTTGATTTGCTCGTTTTCAAGAATTTTGACAATTTGGTGTTCCCAGTAATTTTTGCTGCATTTGAACCTTCTGGCAAGGTTTCCAATGTATGATTTTGGCAACTTGATCGTGACATTGTAGATAATCAATCTGTGAGATTTTGCTGTAGCCACTGATAAGGTGATCCATTGTTTCATCTTTCTCGTTGCATAAACGACATTTGCTGTCGTTGTTGACATGTTGAATTTTTGCTCTCATGGAATTGGTCTGCAAAGCTTTATATCTACTTTTCCTTTAATGTTCTTCAGATATTGACTTTGCATAGGCTTGTTTTTCCAGTTACAAATCCGATGGTCAATTGTTTCCTTTTGATATTCTGCTTTCAATCTCATTGTTTTCAAGAGGTTTCTCTTGTTACACCTTCATCAGAGGCTCCTTCCTTTTTTATGTAGTCATTTAAGCCATGTTTTCTCCTTCCACAGTTAGTTTCACCTGTAAAAGTCCTCTGCCACCCTGAGATCTTGGCAAGTGCAATCGATCAACATCACTTTTGGGTGCAGAGCATGGTGCATGGTCATTAGTTTTCTTGTCTTTCGATCCAAGTTATCAAGTTCTTTCTTCCTCTTCCTCTTCCTCTTCCTCTTCCTCTTCCTCTTCCTCTTCTTCTTCTTCTTCTTCTTCTTCTTCTTCTTCTTCTTCTTCTTCTTCTTCTTCTTCTTCTTCTTCTTCTTCATCGCACAGCCAGATGTTCAGACTGGATTTGGCATTTTTGTATACCTATCGAGTTCTTACCAAGGACTTGGGATAGGCAGATGTAGATGTTTGATGGTGTTACAGATACCATTGCAAGATGGAAGCTGTACCCAGTAAAGCCGCCTTTTGCAATTGACTGATAGTGAATTTGTCAATGCCAATGGTGTCCAAGTGGTGGTCCAGTTGTTTTGGGATTGTACCCAAGGTGCCTATTACTATTAGTTCTACCCTTGCTTGCCTTTGCCAGGCGTTCTATTTCTATTTGTAGATCTTTGTATTTTGTGATCTTCTCCAGTTCTTTCTCTTCTATTCTGCTATCTCTAGGCATTGCCATGTCCAATATCCAGACTCTTTTGTCTTTCTTATCAACAATTGTTAAGTCTGGAGTGTTACGTGGCAGGTGCCTGTCTGTTTGAATTCTAAAGTCCCAGAACAATTTAACTTCTTCATTTTCTATGAATTTCTCTATTTTATGGTCCCATCAGTTCTTGCTTTCAGGCAAATGATATTTCTTACAGATCTTCCAATGTACCATTGTTGCTACTTTGTCATGCCATTGTTTGTAGTCAATCTGCCTATTCCTGTCTTCTCAATTCTGTCTTTGTATGCATCATCATCATCATCATCACTACTCTGCTAGTGGCTTTCTGTATTTATAAAACATATAAACTATGAGTAAAACTGTAACTGTGCTATTTTCTCCCCAAGCTATATCAATTCACAAAAAACTTTACTATTTCTGAATGTAAAAATGACATCCCTTTAAATTTGTTAATAATGAAAAGTGCTTAATCTCTACATTTCACTTAGAAGATAGAATGTATTAACTGCTATATGATGTACTTTCAAAAATGGATTATTAGCTATTCTTAGTTGTTAACAATCCTAGAGGCAACTCTAACAACCCTAGGGGCAACCTGAAATCTGTATAGTATTCAGTACTATCTGTTTAAGACAGCAATTATTATCTAACACTCTATTTTATGGATATGATCAAATCAAGACTTTGTGCATTCAACAAACCTAGTTTTTTCCCTTAACACCCCTCTCTCGCAGTGTTTTGTGTAATTAGCCTTTTGAATAGCTCTAACAATTTGCCACATTTTGTTGCATTCTGTTTGCTTCCAATAAAAGTATTGTTCAACTATAGTTTCAAAAGGAATCTTTTCACCTTTTTGAAATAAAAAACATATATATGCCATACTCTCTACTCTTACTTGCTTAGGAAATGTTACATGAAATTAAACTGGACTCCTATTGGTTATAAATGACATCACTGTCTAGTCAGCTTCATGCTTCTGTTTTCTCTTTAACATTGAAAAGTCTATGGCTCCCTCTGCTGGATTTTAATTTTTTCCCCTTTGGAAACAGCTTTAAAGATTATTTATAGCAGAGGAGTACTTCAAACCATAGGCTCCTAATTTTCTCTCTCTCTCAATCTGTGAATCTTAGCTACATATTTGGTATGTGCCAATTGGTTCCTTCCTCCAGTCAATGTCACCATGGTAATAACAGACTACAAGCTAACAAATGCTATAGTTCAGTTTAAGTCCCAATCATCAAAATCAGATCCACACATGGATGGAATGGGATGCACTGAAAATTCATGTATTTTCAATTCAGCCGTAACACCTACAAATTTATGGCTTGACGTGGATTAAAAAGTGTGTTCTAGTTCTTAAAATCCCAATAGGATTAAATATATACTGAAATATATATAGACACCATGAAGAGGGGAAGATGGAAGAGGCAGCACTGGTCTAGTTACGAACTTTCTTCCATGTTGCTACATTCTGAGCCCATCAGAGAGGAAGCAGTCTTCCACTGTGAGAAAATGGCACTTGCTGAACTTGATAATATGACTTGGTCAACTTGATAATAAAGAAAATATTGTGTGGATTAGTTTTTTATGATCTTCTGTTCTATTTTTGTTTTTGTACAGTGTTTTTTAGGGACTGCAATTTAAATTGCGAACATGTGGATAGAGATTACCTTTTTTGTGCACTGTTCTTTGATGCTTTTCAGGAGGATAAAAATGTTTTAGGAAAAAAATCAATTAGTCATAAACTCTAAAAAAATATGCTTTTCAAAATTCCTTGGCACATGTTTAGAAGCAGTGGTATAATATGAAGATAAATTTTGTGTAAACTGATCTGTTTCAATTGAGAAAGTACAAAATAAAACATTTCAATGCTAATTAAGTAAAAAAAAATAGTCTAGTGACAGAATTATAGTTAATGGAGATTAGACAAAAATACCTTTCTGCTGGAAAAGTGAGCATGCTTGCCCAACTTCTTATTAAGAACCTCCAAGAATATTTCATCTGTGACTTTTCCAACATTCATGCACGCATCATCCAAATTGGCTATAATTCCCTTATGTTGCTGCTCCACAAGATCAACAATAATCTGGTTGTTGAAGTAGTCAATCTACAGAATATTTGAGCACAAATATTAAAGAAAACTCCATGAGGAAAAGTACACTGCGCTACTAGAATCAGTAATACAAAAGGAAATGAGAAGGTATCCGTTTAAATTTCCTTCAGATGCAGTTCCTACTTTGGAATGCAATGAGATTTATTCTAAATTCATATACAATATTTGAGACAGATTTAAGCCAAGCTGTTCAAATTCTACAGCAACAGTTTGAAACTGATTTCTAAATCTAGAGAATTCTGAAGAATAAAGAAGTATTGATAAAGCATTTTCTGTGGTTGAGATGGGAAATGTATATTCTAAGTTTTACCTGCTTTTTTGAACTTTATACCAATAACATAAAAGGTTATTCCTTCAAAGTTCTGAGAGCAGTCTCAGAATCTTGGGAAAAATTATTAAATATGCGGAGTCCCTGCGGACATCTGTACTAGGATATATTTTTTTCTATGTACTGAAACTGTTGTGAAATGTATCATATCCCAGAGATTTAAGGGAAGATATCATCAGTATATGGGTACATTTTTTCCAGCTTGTGTAAGTATGGGTATCCTGAACCAGCATGTGTCCATGAGAATAAGGATCACCTGGATGTTACTGTTTAACTAAAGCTAGATGCACTTGCAATCTTTTTGAAGAAGCAACTACATTATATAGGACTGTTCCTTGCTCAACCATGGTTTAATGATAATCATTATTGGAATACACCAAAGTGAACTGGGTGATAACCTATTCTTTTCTTGGTTAGACTATTATAATACATTCTACATGGAACATTCCATGAAAACCCATTAGAAGTTATAGTATACAAAATATTCATTTTGCTTGTATTTTATTCATGCTCAAGATTCTACATAGCTAACAATTCCAATATGTAATGCTTCCAAATACATGCAATTCCAGATACAAGTAAAAATGAAGATCAAGAAAGATAAAACCAAAAAGTATAAATGACATGTGCATATGGTCCTCACCTTCAATTATAATACACTCTCTTCAAGTTGGAACAGATAAATCTTCACAATTTTCCTAAAGCCTAAGAGAGATGAAGCTGATTGAACCTCTGCCAGGAAGAAGTTCAAAGGAAATAGGCAGCTAGGTATTAAAAATGCCCATTTCCAAGGCCCCATTAGATAACAATCCAATAGGGATGGGATCTGGAAGGAGTTGATCCCATTTAATTTGGTGGACAGGGAGATGAACATTTGTATATCCATGAATACATGGCTGCAGGAGCAGAGGGTGTTTTCAAAGATCATAGTCTAATGTACTATTGCTATTGTGGCTGCCTTGGCTATTGGTCTGCTTCCAGGCGTAACTCAGAGTGCCGATTGTAACCATGCCTTGGGATCAAAGTATTTAAAAGATTATTTCTGTAAGGACTCCCTTAGCCTATATAACAGCTAAAAAAAGTCTTCCTTTCTAACCCTTTCCCCAAATCCAGTTATAACAGAAATAGTTTTTTTCTTGAAAACCATCCCCATTTTCTTTACCTTCTTAACTGGGTAAAATTTGTCTGCTTTCAATTCTCAGTTTTAGGCATGAAAGCCTGATCTTTTCCTTCAAGGCTTTTGCAGGCTTTATTAACTGGTTTTCTAGAGACTGTGATCTTTAGATTTGATATTTTAAACAAGCCTATTGGATTCCCCCCCCCATGTGATACTGAATTTTAAATCTTAATTTGGGGGTGGGGTAACCACCGAGCCTTTCTGAGCAGACCATGTAAATCCACTCACATGTTTCCAAGGAATCCCCTCTCGCTGATATTCTTCCTGTTCTTGCCTCAAAACAAGTTGAATGAAGAGCTGTTGCAGCTTCTCATTGCAGTAGTTAATGCAGAACTGTTCAAAACTATAAAAAAGGAAAAACCAGTAAATAATGTCGTAAATCCTCCTGTGAACCCAATGTATGTTTGATTGCCTGTTTCACCTGTTATTGTCAAAGATCTCAAAGCCGTAGATATCAAGAACTCCGATCACTGTGTTTCTGCCGTGAACAGCGCTGTTGTGGTCTTTCACTGCAATCTCATCATTGATGTGCATCACGATCCAGCAGAAAAGGCGCTCATATATTGCCTACAAACCGAAGTACATCAGCCAATTTTATTTCCTGATTTAGAACCCAGATTTAATTTAAGTCTGTATTTTTATGTTAGGTCACTGTAGCCTTATAAAAGATAACTGGGAATCATCCAGTTCTAACCTACCACTGCAGCAGTAAAAATCTTACGTGAGTTAAACAAAAAAGCTGCAAACAAAGCTGTTCTTTTGTTGTAGCATTATTAAAATTGCAATGGGGTAATTTTCAGGGCATTTAACAGGTCAGTCAGTTCCAGATTCTTCCTCCACCAACGTCTTAACTTCACTGATGATATACAATGTGTTTCACTGGAAAGTAGCTACAAATGTTTGCAATCCGATCTCCCTGCACACCAGTAATGCACTTGCCTTCTCATATCCCATCTCACAATTTCTCATAATATGATTTTTATATCATCCATAAACTTTGGTAATTCCAAAGACTTCATAAATTCCCAGATAATTTCAAAGATAAGTGGCAATTCAGACAAACTTCAAACAATACTTTGATTTCTGGTCACAAGAAATAAGGCACCTGATGATGGATCACAGACAGAATATTTTTGATAACTGGAGAGAATGTCACCTTTTTCCTTTCTTATATAAATTGTTCATGAGTTACAAGTGATTAACAGAAAAACATGGACAGACAAATCAGGCCAATACTAATAATTTATGTGTGGATTTATCTGCGTGGCTACTTTTGAACTTTTTGAATCAGTCATATTAACTTCAACTTAAAAATGAAGATATCATAAACCAAAAAGGTAGACTTCACACTGAAAGGATGGAATCTATATTCACCTTTGCAAATGCATTTTTGCCATAAGTGGCTTCTTGCTCTGTGTGTTGCTTATCAATGATATCACGACCAGTAGCTACAGTTCGAAAAAGCAGGGCCTTCTCTACCATATCAGCTTTAGTTGAGAGCAGATCGGCAACAACAGATACTAGCTTGCCATTTTCAATCACTGGTGTTTCCCCATCCACAGAAAATTTCAAGTTGCCCTGGAGAAAATATGAAAGAAGCTTGTTCATTTCCTCATCAACTTCAGCATCAAGCTCAATTTAGACACTGCATCGGCTTGAAAACTCTGGCTATTTCCTTGATTCAACTCAAACTAGGATAATAGCTATTCCATAGCCATCTTAACTAAAGCATTTCTTGCTAGGGAACCAAATTCCTGATACATCGTGTCACTGACAATATTAGGAAAGTTACACCTTACTTATTAAAATTAAGAAAAGAACATGTCCACTAAAGCAGGGCTTTTCAACCAGTGGTACGGGTACCACCTGTGGTACATTGGCACCTGGCAGGTGGTACGCGACCATCCTAGAAAAGTGGTAGCGGGGGAGGGGAATGAGCTGAACCGGTGGCAGCACCGCACAAGCCTGAGCGAGAGATGGCTGGAACTGCAGGGCTGTCAGGGCTCAGCGGAAGCGCCAGGATCCGCGCTAGGCTCCAGCTGGAGCTCGGCGCTGATCCTGGCGCTTCTGCTGAGCCCTGAAGAAGCACCAATCAGCTGGAAGGTTGCAGCATCTCCTGGGTCTTGTGATTTACATTCAGATGCTTGGCAACTGATTCATATTTATGACAGTCACAGTGTCCCAGGGTCATGTGAAGTGACCAAAACATGCTGCAACCACCCAGCAGACAGGGGGAATAAAAATCAAACACCCCCCCACCCCACCCCTGCTGCCAATCCTCAACAGAAATGCTCACAACAATGAAAACCTCGGATAGGAGGAAGAGCGCCGCCGGGCGGGCAGGCAGGTGTCTTGCTCGGCTGTGGCTTGGGGGGCACTTTTTCAGTGCCATTGTAACTTCGAACAGTCACTAAGTGAACTGTTGTAAATCGAGGACTACCTGTAGTTTATCACTTTTTTCCTTTTTATTTTTTTGGTCATCAAGTTTTTGATACTGTGCTAGGCGATTGGTGATACTCGGATATTGCCATATCCTAAAAGTGGTACAATGGGTGAAAAGATTGAAAAGCCCTGCACTAAAGAACATTGGAGGTTTCAGTAAGTCATCCCTGACTCACAAAAACAACTAGACCAGAAAATCTGTGATTAAATGATGCAGAGGTTAAGTGAGGCACCACTTGACCACAAGTGATTTTACAATCTTTTTTGCTGTGGTCATTTATGTGAATCACTGAGGTTGTTAACTGAGATAACACAGAATGACAACTTGTAACATTCTCTGATGGCTTCCCCAATGGCTTTGCTTGTAGGAAGCCGGCTGGGAAGGCTGCAACTGTTATAAATGTGAGCTGATCGCCAAGTGCCCAGATTATAATCATGTTATTGTGTGGATGGTGTGATGGTTGTAAGTGTAAGTTGTCAGCGACGTTGTAACTTGGAACCATTGCTAAACAAACAATTGTAAGTCAAGGAGTACCTGTTATTTTTTTAACCATGGAAACCTGATTCATTCTATTAGCTTGCCTATCTTTATAAATAAACCTGAAACCTGAATATCAACTATCTCTAGTATATTTAAACAGAATTAAAGTCTCTCATCAAAAGGAATGTGCATGTATAGATGCAAAATGTAACTATTACTCTCTTGTTCCTGATGTTCCTCATGTAACCTTACAACATACATTTCTTTCCAGAAGTCTAATAGCAGAGAGAACCATTTACCAAATGCAGAATGGCAGCAAGGATTTTGTACACTGTTTGAACCTCTTCCGGTCTAAACCCAATCACTTTCATTGCATCAGCAACAGCTTTGAAATCTGCACTGTCATTAATGGCACACTGAAAAAGAAACAAACAAAACATGAAATCACTCTCTTGCCTCAGCACTAAGAATGAGATATTAGGCAGGGAAAAATGAGACACTCATCTCTAGGAATATTTCAACCTAAACAAAGAATAAAGTATTAGAATAGTACTAGTAATTATGTGAACGTTATTATGTGAACTAGCTAGTAGGAAAAAGAAAAGCAGAAGAGAAAGTCTATTTAATTTATTAAAATATTCATAATGAATCCAAATAATAAAGAAAAATTAGGGGTTGATGGCGGAGGTTGGAGGAAAACAAGGAAAAAAGGATTAAATCACAGTTGAAAAATAAAATATCTCAGTTGAATATTTGAATTAGACTGTTTTTCCAAATAAAAAAGTGGCAAGGAGAATTTTAAACCAATTTGGCCAAATTTGGAAACTGTTTTTGTTATTGTTATCAAGGAGCAAAAAAGAACATAGCAGAGAATTCCAAATAAAAATAGGTAACTTTATAGAATACAAGTAAGGTAATATAAGATACAATACAGGTAGTCCTTGACTTATGACCAGAATTGAAACCAACATTTCTGTTGCTAAGTGAGATATTTAAGTGATTTTTGCCCTATTTTATGACCTTTCTTGCCACAGTTGTTAAGTGAATCTGGTTTCCCCATTGATTTTGCTTGTCGGAAGGTTGCAAAAGGTGGTCACATGACCTTGGGACACTGAAACCATCATAAATATGAGCCAGTTATCAACTGTCATGGGGATGCTGCAATGGTCATAAATGTGAAAAAGGGTCAGAAGTCACTTTTTTCAGTGATGTTGTAACTTTGAACAGTCACTAAATGAAGTGTTGTTAGTCAAGGACTACCTGTAATATCCAGAGCATTTTTACATATCCTATTCAAATCCACATTCATAGTTATGATTAGATAATGCACGACCCTTTTCAGAGATATTTCCTTACCAGATCCCTCAATGACTTCAACAGTGACAGAGCTTCTAATGCAATGCTTTAACTGGAAAAAGCTGGGATACAGTCAGAGATTTATTTGTCTTGAAATTAGCCCACATTGAACTGTATAGCACATTCAAACATCGGCACAGGAAATGTTCTATGACATTTTGCATTATGTCACAAACTGTTTTATGATATAAAATGTTTTATAAAATTTGACAAATTTCAATTACACTGGAGTCAAGAGTCCCAATTTTGGACACGTTGTGTATATTAGCCCATTTGAGATATACTGGTTCAAAAGATGCCCTATGGTGCAACATTTTAAAGATTACAGGAATCAGAGTTTTAGTAATAATGTAACAAAATTATACAATAAAACATTTCAGCCTGTTTTGCTATTAAATTAGCCATAAATTTTGCTATTAAAATGTGGCATTGGAATTACTGAATGAGATTATGTATTTTAGTTTCTTCATCTAAAAGAAATCAGATACTGTAAAAGATTCCTCAGAATGCCCTGGAAAGTTTGCTAAAGATGTAATTGTCTTTGTGTATTTTAAATGTTTTAGCTCTTAAAATTATTATATTTCACCCTCTGAATCCTGGTCTGGGACCTTAATAAAAAATTGAATTGATTTGGTAGTTGATCAACTAAAATTGGAAATGTAAGAGAACATTCATTTTTTTAGAAGTTTTTAAGCTGGCCAATCAAAATTACTTGTAAGCATTGGATATGTTAAAATGATATTAGAAAATAAATACATTCAGAACTCCAAATGTACAGACTGATAAGAAATAGAATAGTTTACCATGTAACAGTGTCAAAGAAAAAGATGATTCTTCCTCACCTTTGGTTGTGCTCCAACACTAACATAGCTATATGCAGATAAATCTTTATGCAGATACAAAGATCGCAGAAGCTGCTCAGAGCCTCCTTGAAGAAGCTAAAAAGATAAGAATCAATTACTTAAATCAATTGTAGTGATAAAGGAGAATAGTGGTAGCTCAGGGTTGAAATGATGGTCCTTGTGCTCTCTAAGCTTGATTTTTTCCTTGCAGATGTTTTATTATCCAAACTAAATAACATCATCAGTCCTAGTCACTAGCACTGATGATGTTACCTAGTTTGGGTACTGAAACATCTGCAAGGAAGCTACCAATCCCAGAGAGCACCAAACACCCCTTAAACCAATTGTCTTTTTGGTGCTATGTATTATTAATATTATTACCACCTAAAATACTTTGTCTTGATAGGATAATCCAGGGCTTTTCAACCTTTTCACCCACTTTTAGTGGTACAACCTTTGTACCACTTTTAGGATATGGCAATATCTGAGTACCACCAATCGCCTAGCACAGTATCAAAAACTTGATGACCCCCCCCCAAAAAAGGAAAAAAGTGATAAACTACAGGTAGTCCTCGACTTACAACAGTTCACTTAGTGACTGTTCGAAGTTACAATGGCACTGAAAAAAGTGCCCCCCAAGCCACAGCCGAGCAAGACACCTGCCTGCCCGGTGGCGCTCTTCCTCGTGTCTGAGGTTTTCATTGTTGTGAGCATTTCTGTTGAGGATTGGCAGCAGGGGTGGGGGGGTTGTTTGGTTTTTATTCCCCCGTCTGCTGGATGGTTGTAGCAGGTTTTGGTCACTTCACATGACCCTGGGACACTGTGACCGTCATAAATATGAATCAGTTGCCAAGCATCTGAATGTAAATCACAAGACTCTGGAGATGCTGCAACATTCCAGCTGATCAGTGCTTCTTCTGGGCTCAGCCGAGCTCCAGCAGGAGCCTGGCACGGATCCTGGTGCTTCCGCTGAGCCCTGACAGCCCTGCAGCTCGTCATCTCTCGCTCAGGCTTGTGCAGTGCTGCCACTGGTTCAGCTCATTCCCCTCCCCCGCTACCACTTTTCTAGGATGGTCGCATACCACCTGCCAGGTGCCAATGTACCACAGGTGGTACCCATATCACTGGTTGAAAAGCCCTGGGACAATCCATCTCAAGCATACAGTATTAACAGATATTCAATAGTGAGGGCAAGCATTGCAACAGCTGCTCCTTTATTAGTCACTCCAGATAATTTAGATTCTCTCTTACATAAGGTTATTTTGGGGGAGGAAAAAGTATATGGTTCCAGTGGCATTCAACCCCAATTATGTACTGATACTTTATCTGTCTTTAGGATCTTCCTTCTGGAATCTCAGCTAAGGGGTACCCTTCATTTAAAGAGTGTTGTTTCTTCTTCCCTCTTCTTTCATCCTGTTATAAGTGATGCAGCTTTTAATGGAGCTGTCTTAAACTATTAAATATTCAAGAACTCATGGTTTCTTCAGGATTAGAAAACTTTCTCCTGGGTCAGAATGGCTAGTATCCCAAAATATTTAAACTGTTTCATCTAAACCAAAATATTGGGAGGGGGGGTGTCTATCCTGAAAGGACATTGAAATCTGACTCTTCTTTCACTAGAGCATAATGGGAAGTGAGCTCAGCTTTTATTTATTATTATTATTATTGATCATCACACAATCAGTCAGATGTTCAGACTGGATTTGGCATTTTTGTCTACCTATTGAGTCCTTACCAAGGACCTGGGATAGGCAGATCTGGATGTTTGAACTGATGGTATTACAGATATCGTCGCAGGATGGAAGTTGTTCCTAGTAATGCCGCCTTTTGCAATTGATTGATGGCAAATTTGTCAATGCCAATGGTGTCCAAGTGATGCTCCAATTGTTTTGGGATTGTACCCAAGGCGCCTATTACTATTGGTACTACCCTTGTTTGCCTTTGCCATAATCGTTCTATTTCTATTTGTAGGTCTTTATATTTTGTGATCTTCTCCACTTCTTTCTCTTCTATTCTGCTGTCTCCAGGCTCTGCCATGTCTACTATCCAGACTTTTTTGTCTTTCTTATTGACAATTGTTAAGTCCGGGATGTTATGTGGCAGGTGCCTGTCTGTTTGAATTCTAAAGTCCCAGAGCAATTTAACATTTTCATTTTCTATGACTTTCTCTATTTTACGGTCCCATCAATTCATGCTTGCAGGCAAATGATATTTCTTGCAGATCTTCCAATGCACCTTTGTTGCTACATTGTCATGCCGCTGCTTGTAGTCAGTCTGTGTGATCTTCTTGCAATAGCTTACCAGGTGGTCCACTATTTCTTCTTTGCATAAGCGGCACTTACTGTCTGTTGCTGTCTTCTCAATTTTCACTTTGTATGCATTTGTCCTGAAGGCTTGATTTTGTGCAGCCAGAATTAGTCCCTTGGTCTCTTTGTTTCTACGTGGTATTTCTTGATTAGGTATTCTTTGATCTTCTTGTTCTTCAGCTTCTTTTCTTTTATCTGTTCTAGCTTGCTTGCATCTGATCTTCACTTGTTGATCTTATTTTCCAGTCTAACCTTCCATTTTTGTGGTGTACTGTTTGGTTTTTTCTTCTTTGTTGGTTTTGCATCCCAGGTATTCAGTTATAACCGCAGCTGTGCTGTACATTAGTTGGTTTGTTTCTTGCAATGAATTGGTGCTTATTGTTGATATTGCAGTGTTTGCATCTTTTAATGCTTGTGCTAGCTGTTTCTGCCAACAAAAGTACGTATAGTGAAGGCCATGGTTTTCCCAGTTGCAATATATGGCTGTGAAAGTTGGACCATAAGAAAAGCTGAGTGCAAAAGAATTGAGGCCTTTGAACTATGGTGCTGGAGAAGAATCCTGCGAGTCCCCTGGACTGCAAGGCGATCAAACCGATCAATCCTAGAGAAGATCAGTCCTGACTGCTCTTTAGAAGGCCAGATCCTGAAGTTGAAACTCAAGTACTTTGGCCACCTAATGAGAAAGAAGGACTCACTGGAGAAGAGCCTAATGCTAGGAAAGATTGAGGGCAATAGAAGAAGGGGACGACAGAAAAAGAGGTGGCTGGATGGAGTCACTGAAGCAGTAGGCGTGAGCTTAAATGGACTCTAGAAGATAGTAGAGGACAGGAAGGCCTGGAGGAACGTTGTCCATAGGGTCGTGATGGGTCGGACACAACTTCGCAACTAACAACAACAAAAGCTGTTTCTTTGGAACAAGCTTCAATGCAGGCATCCATATTCTGTTGTTTTTGTGCTGTTCTAGATGCTCAGTTATTCTTTGTTTCACTTCTTTTATTTCTTTAGTTAGAGGGCTTTGTTCTTCCTGAGGAAGAGGTACCTGGTTTCCAAATGAAAACAGCTGTATATCTTTGCTGGATTCCTCTACTGCTAACTCCCCCTGGTTTGCCTCTACGTTCTGCATTACTTCTGGCAAGGCTTTGATTTCTTTGCCCTGGGTAAACCTTTGCAGTTCATCCAATTCTGTTTCTGTGAATACTTTATTTCGTATTATAAATCGACAATCTGCTAATCTCTATTCTGTTGTTCTTTCCAGAACTGATGCATTCGTTTCAGATATCCTCTTCTTGTTAGTCTTGATCTGTAATAACAGATTATTATTTCTTTGTTTTCAATCACTGTGTATTTGTGATAGGTAAAGACCTTTTCTTTCAGTAGTTTTGCAGCTGCTGGCCCTGGTTGCTCAGCTAACAATCCTGAATCCTGTAGCCAATTTTTCACAAGATATCCAGGAAATCCAACATCTAGCGCGGACTTTGTTAACCTGGGCAACATCCGAGCCAGTATGGTTTTCTTAAATTTATGTCTCACCATATTTTTTATGGGAGAAACACTCTTTGTCTGACTCCTCTGATGAGACCTGTCCAGTATGGTTGATCCTCTGGCATAGCTTTCATCTTCCTCAGAGTACACAAGCCCCACAACCATGTCAAGGTAATGCCTCACTGGGGGTTGTTGTTGTTATTATAATATGCTGAATGGCATTGAAGATATCTTAATTTTAATCTTAATTTTTAACTTAATATAATTTTAAAAAATTAATTATTTTTTATTATTTGTGGGTTTGTATAATATAAGTGACCACATATATTTCTCAAATAAATGAAATCAGTGCCATAGTCTTCACACTTCTCCAGTAAAACAATATGCTTTACCAACATGGTAGCCTGGCATAAAAGTACAGTAATACAGAATCCTACTTTCCAACTGAAGCAGACATTGTCCTTTGTAAAAGGCTACCCTAAGGCACTATTAGCTGTTTCAGAGGTATCCAAGACAGGCATCCAGTTACCATAATTGCTAGCAGGCACACAAGGCAAAACCATGAAGTATATGGAAATTATTTCCATCTGCAGCTAGAACCAGTATGATTTTCTCTTCCAAGGAAAATAAAAACACCAACTAACATTACATTTGGATAAAGGAAATCTGAAGAGCCAGTCTTTGAGCCTCAGAATGGAATAAATTATCATCTACAGCCAAATGGCTATACAAAGACTGTCCTTTGCACTATGAATGAACTAGGGAAGAAAGAAGGATGTAGCAAACTGATAGGATAAAACAATGAGGAACATTACAAAGAAGTGTACAGAGTACATTCCTCTGAATTTAGAAGTGATCACCCACAATGTGCCCAATTTCACACTTGTAACTCACCTGGTAGAAGGAGTGAAAGTTTCTCTCTCCTGGTTGCTGCACAATCACCCGGGACTAGAAGAACAAGGAAAGAGCCTAATGAAATAAGCTTGCTAATTTATTTTTTAACCTGTACTATTCTAAGCAAATTGTTTACATTAAGTTAAATATTGAAAACAAGTTGTTTTTAAACCTAATCTTGCTCTATTTAAATAATGTATCTCTTGGGAGGCAGAAGGCTTAAAGGGGGATGGGAACTAGTTACACAATTTATGTTATTGCAATATAACACAATATAATTGATTATTACTACTATTATTATTATTTTATTTATCTATTGAAGTTTTATGGCTGTTAGCAATCCAGATTCATGTGAGAGATGGACAGCCATATAAAGTCCTTTAAATAAATTAAACAAATAATGAGAGTCTTGCAGAACAACAGTGGCATAAGAACCATTTGCACGAACCAATTTCAGTTTAGGAAGTGTGGTGGCAATTCCTACAAAGGGCAACTAGCTTTTCACACAGCTATGGAGGCCCCTATGAGGCTGCTGCCATAATCCAGAGGGCAAAACATTTTATTTAGTATGACCAAGGGTAGAATACCTTCTGGTGACAACCAGATGGGCAAGCAGGACTTCAATAATATTACTGGTTAAGGTTTCATTAATCATCTCTTAATCCGTTAAGTGAACCATTGGATTGTTGTAAATAAATATGAACCCATTTATCCAAGGAGGATTTGTAAGTAACTTTTTTGAACAGTTGTTAAACCAGAAATTATAAACTAGAAATAGGATAGATAGCTTAATAGGGTTATCCAAGATTGATTTTTATTTGACAAATTAGACAACTAGCAGAGGGCAAGACACAGCTAAAGTGGGAGTTTATTATTAGCAGTGACATTTAGGTGGCCCATGGTTTTAGGACATTTCTCAAGTTTGCATAATCTATCTCAAATTATCCAATAGGATTCATTCTAAAAATATGATATGGTTACCAAACCAACAGAAACTGCTGCATGATTTCAATTTGGGAGATGGGGAGAATACCTGAAAAATAACTCCTAAATCATCAAAACTTCAGTGTTTATTCCAAGATTGTGATTCTGACAGAATAGCAAAGTAGAATGAGGGGAGGGTGAAAGGGAAGAGAAACATACAATATATGTTCTCTATAGATGTTTAAGGGCAACAAATGCTGTTGCTTTAAAAAAATAATTTCACATATAGTCACACAACAGAAAGCTAGACAGCACTTAAAAACTGCCCTATCATCTATTCCATTTTTAACTGAGGTTTTCACCAGGCCACGAAACATGTAATAGTAAATTTCCTTACAACCATATGATAATCTATTTAAAACAGTGATCTCTGCTACAATTATATTTACTGAAAGTTTTGCAAGTTAGAGCCAACTTTCCCATATACTTAGTATTATCCCAAGAACTCAGTTCAATTTTCTATTTTGAATCCAGATGCTTATAATATAGTAAATTTTACTAATTTCTGAAAGATATCTGTGGATGAGCATGAAAGCCCTAGTTACCTTTTCCAGCAAGTAATTATTGATATGTCCACCTATGGGGTCTCCTTTAAAATCAAAATTGATATCCATATATTTTCCAAAGCGGCTGGAGTTGTCATTACGGTTAGTTTTCGCATTGCCAAAAGCTTCCAGAACACAGTTGGATTTCAGCAGCATGTTCTTCACCCTTTAAAGAACACACATGCCCAAAAACCAATAGTAAAGGAACCTATGTCAGACACAATGTTTTTTTCTAGGTAAGAAACCTAATGGCCATGTTAGTTCTACTATAGGCTAAAGGAGGCCATATTCCAAAATGTTGTCAGCAGAAAGCCATCTCAAGCAAATAATAGATCCTTAATTCTCAATTTTCATCTAAAGCAAACTTCATTCTATGTTAGGAAAGCAGAAATACAGTGGTCTAGTCACTTCCTTCATTGTAGGTATTAAAAACTCCTCCTCTCTCTCAAGAAATCTGAAGCCAACTATAATTTCCCAAATTATGCTCAAGGATTTAGGGGCTTTAGAGAATAGAAGATTATCCTGACAAAATATATAGATAACATTGTTGAGATTATGCTCCTGACTAATAGCAGAAATAGTAAGGAGAAAATGAAAGCAGTTGTATTCAGGTTGTCTAAAGTTTAACCCACTTTAAACCTGACACATTAAAATTCTCAGAAGATAATAAGCCAGACAGGGACAACTACTTTTTGGGATGTTGGCATTGCCCTAGCCACCTCTTATGCAACAGCAAGTTGCTGTTAAAGGGTTTAGGCCATTATTTGATATTAGAGCCCCATAATGTACCTTGAATATTTGATACAATTTATTCTGTGTTCTTTTTTCTTTTCTTTTTTCTTTTCTTACCAGAGCGTTTGAGAAGCTAAAAGTCTGCACCCTATTGATGCACCTTCATTTCTACTTTTTCCTATGGAGCAATTATATTTTGCATTCAATTAAATCAGACATTTTTCCCTCCAAAGCAAATGCCTTACCTTTCAACTTCAGCCCTCTGACTTGGATTAGTAATGGCAGCTATGTACTGCATAATGTATTTACTTGCTTCTGTTTTACCTGCTCCGCTTTCCCCTGAGGGCACAAATGAAAGACAGGCATCATAACACAATCTCATCTATTTCGCTAGCTAGAGAGAACAAGTGTGCTTTGAGCTTCTTGAACTTCTTTATTATTCAAGAAATTAATATTAAGCTCTATGTCTTCACGCTCACTTTCTAGTTCAAGAGGAAAACTAGGCAAACCTTTGAAACTCTTTACAAAAGTTGGCAAGAAAAGTAGACAGTATTGGACTAACAAGTGCTAGATTTTTTTAAAAGAAAAGTTGGAATAGAAGAGCATCTGGCAAATAACTTTTGCAGGTTATATTTACAAAAATCTACAAATCACATTTGATATATAATATTTCTTAGTTTCTGGAGGTTGTGAGCTCCTGGATGGGGAAGAAGAGCTCAGCCTTGGTAAACTGAGTGGCTATGGATTTTAGGGTCCACTGTATCTAGGGTTTTTCCATCTTTGGACCTCCTTGACTCACAAGTTATCTTTGAAGAGCAGATGGCAGCTATAATGAGGAAGGCTTCTCCACAACTTTGTTTTTTGAGCTCAGTTGCACCCCTTCCTGGATCAAGAGGCACTGTTCAGAGGCACATGCCTTAGTCACCTCTCAAGTGTATTAGTGCAACACAATTACATGGAGTTACCCTTGAGGACCATCTGGAAGCAGCAGCTGATCCAGAATTTGGAAACACTGGCATTTCTGGGTGTATCTCAGTACTGTACATCCATGTTACATCTCTGCTACAGGAACTGTGTATTTCCAAGTGGAATTCAAGATGCTGGTCGTTACCTTTAAAAGCCTTCCATATCACGGGGCTGGGATATTTGTGGGATCATTTCTCACTGGTTGTTTTTATCCATCCCACTAGGTCTGACAGGAGGGGCATGGTCTGGATCCCTTCAATTAAAGAATGTCATCTTATGGGACCTTGGAAGTCTGCTTTTTTATTGAAGCACTTGTCTTTTGGAACACCATATCCTCCTCAAGATCAGATTGGCCTTGACTCTGCTGGCCTTCCATTAAGCACTCTATGCGCTCCAGGACAAGGGAGTAGATGGGTCCCATGTTTTGTATTGTCTTGTTGGGTTCATCTTCGGTGACCACCCTTGTTTTTTTATTTTACTAATAATTGTTTTTATTGTTTTAATGTGCTGTTAGCTGCCCAGAATTAATTACATTTACTAGATAGGCAGCCATTTAATACGAACGAATGAATGAACGAACGAATATTACTCACTCACTCATTCAATAATCAATCATAGAACTTATTAGCCAAGCTGGACTTACACTTTATACAAAACCGCCACATTGTTAGTTTGGGATGCAATGCAATATAAGAACCTAACGAATGAACGAACGAATATTACTCACTCACTCACTCGTTCAATAATCAATCATAGAACTTATTAGCCAAGCTGGACTTACACTTTACACAAAACCACCACATTGTTAGTTTGGGATGCAATGCAATATAAGAACCTAACTTTAATCTTCCAGTTTTGTTTAAAATATCACCATGATGGGAAGTAGCAGGTACCTCTGACACACCTGATATTACAATGCATGTGTCCTTTGATCGCCTCTTCATAGCTTTATATGCAGCATCTGCGATGGCAAAGAGATGAGGTGGCCTCTCATACAACTCCCGCCCTTTATATTGTTCAATTGTATCACGGCTGTAGATATTCAAATTCTTGTAAGGATTTACAGAAACAACTACTTCCCCAATGAATGTGTAGATCCGTCCCTTTTCAAACCTAAACAATGCAAGACAAAGACAATAGAAAAGGGTAATGAAAAATTAGAAAACGTTAAAAAGCAGACAATGAATATCATATAACTTACACAAGCTTTGTACTTTAAGGAGAAGCTCATTTCATCATACTTTTTCCTCATGACCAAAGAATTTATTGACTATAAGTAAGCAGTATTTGAAGAGTTACATCAGTAACTCTTATATAAGTACAGGCAGAATTATGTACACTGTGTATGTCTTTTAAGTTCTTTATGTAAATATAGAAACCGGATTAGGAATCTAAAAATTCTGGGCATTCATAAATGTGTGCACAGATTTATTCCTAAAGTTTTATCTCCAGTAATAGTAATATTTAAATATGTAATACAGCACATATTTAATAGCATTATTAAAAACAAGATTTTAATATTTAACATACAAAATGTCATGTCAAAAATCTGTAGTTTTCTACTGGGAATTTAGTTTTTCCACCAGTATACCATGAATCCAAGCCACTACAGAAAAATAGCATTGCAGATTATTTATTTATTTATGTACTAGCTTTACCCAAATTGTGTACTAGCTAATTTTACCCAAACATATCCAACAAATTTTCCCGTCTTTTTCCTCCACAACAACAACCCTGTGAGGTGGGTTGTGCTGAGAGAGAATGACTTGCAAAAGGCACTCAGCTGGTTTTGTATGCTAAGGTGGGACTTAAACTCATGGCTTCTCGTTTTTTAACTTGGCCTTAACCATTAGACCAAACTGGCTCTTTTTAAATTTGGTTCATGATAAAAGATAAAAATATTTTGAGTCTGGGGCAATAGTTTCTCCTCCTGTTTTATTTAGAGCAACTTTATTTCTGCATCACAACAACCTGTTAATGTTTCTTTACCTCTAGACCTCATCAGCCTGTTTCTTAACTCTACAGGATTTGATGGCTGATGAAATCTCAGTCCTGTTTGTTCTCAAACATTACACACTGCTCTTCATCAATCACAAGGCAAAATATGACAAATTTTTATTTGATAGCTCCACTAGAAACATGAAACCAAGTACAGATAGTCCTTGATTTTCAACCATTCATTTAATGACCAATGGTCACGTGAGCAAAATTTGGGCATTTGGTAACCAGCATATGTGACAATTGCACCATCCAGGGATCATGTGATCACCATTTGTAAGTTCCCAAAAAACAAAGTCAATGGGGGAAGCCAGATTCACTTAACGATTGGATGATTCACTTAACATCTGTAGTGATTCACTTAGCAATTGTGGCAAAAAGGTGATAAAAATGAGATGCAATTCATTTAATAAGCGTCTTGCTTAGCAATTTCCTTTGCTAGGAAAGGTGTTTATTTAGTCATGCCTGACTTCGCAACCTTTCTTGCAACAGTTGTTCAGTGAATCACTGCAGTTGTTAAGTGAATCATGCAGTTATTAAAGAATTCAACTTCTCTCATTGACTTTGCTTCTCAGAAGCCAGCTGGAAGGTCACAAATGGCAATCACATGACTCCAGGAAGCTGAAACCATCGTAAATACAGGCTGGTTGAATTTTGATCATGTGATCGTGGGGATGCTGTAGGTCACTTTTTTAGTATCACTGTAATTTGAATGGTTGCTAAATAAATGGTTCCAATCTGCACTGAATGCAGATATGGTTGATATAGTTATTTACCCACTATTCAGCTCCACAACAGTTATACACTGATTCAGTAATTCCAAAAACAATATACCTATAATATCTATATAAGATCTGGATTGCTATTTTTTTTTAAAAAAAAAATCTCAACCAGATTTATATAAGAATTATTGGCTCCTCACAAGACAGATAGCAGTTGTTCTTAAATGTATTATCATTAAACGTGGCATTGAAAATATAAGTAACAGGACAGGCAAAAAAACAAAAACAAATTCATGTTTCACCATGGGAAGAAATTGGGTTTATTTGGTCTGAAGTAGCATAATTTCTTTTAAGTTTATTCTGGAGATGAATATAAAATCTGGGTAGAACAATATCTCAGCTGTGTTTTTTTATGTTGCAAAATTAAATAAAGTAGTATCAGCAGTTAAAATTTTGTTTAACAATAAAATTAGGGTGTAACCAGAATTGTCAAAAGTGTTTCCTCTTTCCTTTTAAATATACCAACTATCCTCTTCTCTCTTCCTTTCTGATTTTCTTTCCTAGTTTTCTCCCTCTGTCAAATGCTTCTCTTAACACTAATTTCCCATGTCACTTTAGGATTCTCCCTATCTTCCTAAAAGAGAAATAGTCAATTAAGCCTTATTCTGCTTTATTAGAATGCAAATAATCTATCATTTTATCACACATCCAGTGTGAAAGACTTTCTATTAAAAACTTTACCAAAATCTTACCAAAAGCAATCTTTCACATGTACCCAAAAAGTTCTGTACTACATATTGCCTTAAAATTCAGAATTCTGCTGAATTTTTCTACAATGGAGGCATACCACTTTTACTGATATTCTGAAACATAAATTTATACTTGAATTTTTAATACATTTTTCAACTCAGTGTTGAGGACAGCCAATTTCCCCGAGTAGGAAATGCCATTCTTTGCACATTTGGTATCCCTCCTTTCCTGTACGGGACAAAACAGCAAGGAGAGTGAAAGGACAAATTATTTTATTATACAACATTCTGAACTGGGGCAAATTCTTCTATAAAGGAATCTTGGAAAGGAAACATATTTAATTCAAAGGTTGCCAACAGGTCCATGCCAACTGTAAACCATTCTTTTGGCCTATTGCCATAGTATATACACACTCTCACACACACACACACACACTCACTCACACACAAACACACACTAAATTCTAAGGTAGTATATTCTATGATGGCACAGAAATATTGGACAAGAAAAAAAACCCCATGGTGACAGGTATGGGAATGATGATCACACAAAAAAAGGGATTTTACTTAAAAGCCTAAATAATTTCCCCCTTAATTTAAACTAGAATTAAAGATTTAAAAGTCACCCAGGGATCTGATTTCCATATACTTTCAACCTTTTCATTCACATTAACTGTTACTGATAATGAAGGAATGGATGTATATTTCAAAGTAGCCAGCTACTAGAGAATGTAGTTCAATTCACAAGACAAGGCTTTAAGAAAAAATGTTTTTCTGGCACATTGTAATTTTAATTTACTACAAAGCAAAAATCTTGGACAGAAAGAAGGAAAAGTCAAATCATAAAAAGGGAACACATGAATGCTTTTCTATCTATTTGCATCAGAAAATATCCTAAGCCATTCCTCCCCCATACTGTATTGTAGAGTGAAAATAAGCTTGGAATGTCTGTTTTATCCACAGACATTAGGAAAGAAGAGCAAAACAAAAGAAAGGCAATGGAGGATTGAATGACTTCCTAGAAAACACAATAAATCAAGAACAAGGCATCTCCGCTGCCATCTCTCTGACTGAATTTTAACTGGCTTTCTTTAGTCACCTTGTATATATAAAAGTCATGTAGACAAAAGGAAAACAAGGCAACAGTCAGAATCAAATTTTTATATTTAGCAAAAGGTACATATATCTAGGGACAAGAAGCTAGAATTACATATCTAGATATATGTGCTTGGAATTCATTTTATCCAAGCTATGCCATTGCCGCTCCTGGGCGCACGAAGGGTTCGGACAAAAGTCCGGGAGCACAATGTCCTGGTTCTTATGGAATGTTGAATTTACCTTCGGTATGAAGATGGGATCGAGGCGAAGGATCACCCTGTCTGGGCGGAAAAAACACAGGTCCTTGCGGACCGAGAGCGCTGCCAGCTCGGAGATACGCCGAGCCGACGTAATTGCCACTAAAAAGGCCACTTTGTGAGTAAGGTGTTGAAACTCGCACGATCTCAGGGGTTCGAAAGGCGGTCTCGTCAGGGCCAGAAGTACCCGCGGCAAGTCCCAGGACGGGTACCTATGTACTGTAGGCGGCCTGGTGTTTGACGCACCCTGAGGAAAGATCTAATCAAGGGGTGATGCCCTAACGACTCTACAGAGTCACAGGATAGAACCGTGGACAGAGCAGCTACCTGCCTGCGTAATGTGTTCGGGGCTAGTTCCCGCTCCAGACCCTCCAAAAGATATTCCAAAATATGAGGAACAGTGAGTTGAACAAGTGACAACTGCTTCCTGGAGCACCAGGATTGGAAACTCCGCCATGTGGACTCGTAAACTCGGTTAGTGGAGGGGCGACGAGACGCTTGAATTACATTGATCACCCCTGTGGAACAGAGCTGTCGTGACAAACAAGACCGCTCAATCGCCAAACGGCTAACTGGAGCCATTGGGGATCCTGATGGAGGATGGCCCCCTGACTGAGTGAGACTCTGTCTGGGGGAATCCGCCATGGGTTCGAGATGGACAGGCTCAGAAGATCGGCGAACCAGGGTCTCCGTGGCCAATAAGGAGCAATGAGAAGTACCTCCGCGCCCTCTTGGAGAACCTTGCGAACCACCGCCGGGATCAGAGGGAGCGGCGGGAAGGCATAGAGGAGACCCGGGGGCCATGGGGATCGAAGCACATCGATCTGTTCCGCCCCGAGAGGGGAACCGGGAGAAGAACCGGCTTAATTGTGTGTTGGCCGGGGACGCAAAGAGATCCACTAGTGGACGTCCGAAACGGTGACAAATCTCCCTGAACACCCTCGGATGGAGGCGCCATTCCAAGTGGTCTATGGTGGCCCTGCTCAACCTGTCGGCTTGAGTGTTCTCCTTCCCCGAAATGTGGTCGGCCTTGATGGAGGCCAGGTTGTGTTCTGCCCAGGATCCCAGCAACAGTGACTCGGTCAATAGAGCCCGTGAACGGGTGCCCCCCTGCCTGTTCACGTGAGCCTTGGCAGTCACGTTGTCCGTGAGGACAAGGACGTGTCGCCTCCTTACCAGAGCATGAAAATGTCGGAGAGCTAAATGAATGGCCCGCAACTCCAACCAGTTGATGTCGTGCCGAAGGTCCGAATGGGACCAACGACCCTGTGCCCACTGTGATCGAAGGTGCGCACCCCAGCCAAACAGGCTGGCGTCGGTCGTCAGCAGTGTTCGGCCCGGTTCTTTGAACAGCGACCCCTTGAGGGTGGCTGGCGACAGCCACCATCCGAGGGACCGCACTACCTGAGGGGGGAGTCTCACCCTTTGATTGGAGGCACTGAGGTTCTGCCTCTGAAAGGGTAACAGGAACCGCTGTAGTTCCCTGGAGTGGAGTCTGGACCACGGAACAATGGCTATGGTCGATATCATTTGACCCAATAATTTGGAGAGAGTGAGCAAGGACGCTGTGCATCCCCTGCGTACCTGGAGGACTGAGTTCCTCAGGTTGTCCCGGCGTTCCTGAGATAAGTACACCTTGCATTGCAAAGTGTCTATTATGGCTCCCAGATGTAACAGTTTTGTCGTGGGGATCATGTGACTCTTGAGGAAGTTTACCGAGAACCCATGGTCCTGGAGCACGCTCACTACCGATGTTAGATCCGCCTTGGCGGACTGGATGGAAGATGACTGGATCAGGATGTCGTCCAAGTAACATTGGACCCTGACCGGAACCATCCGTAAGTGAGCTGCCAGGACCGCTAGGATCTTGGTAAACACCCTGGGAGCCGATGAAAGGCCAAAAGGTAGGGCCCTGTATTGGTAATGTTGACCTTTGTAAGCAAACCTTAGAAACCGGCGGTGGGCGAGAGAGATGGGGATATGAAGATACGCTTCCGTGAGATCGATGGACGTCAGGAAGTCTCCTTTTCGTACGCTTCCCAAGATGGATCGGAGCGTCTGCATCTTGAACTTGCGGTAAACAAGATGGTAATTTAAACCCTTGAGATCCAAGATGGCCCTCCATCCCCCCGACGACTTGGGAACGACAAAGAGGATGGAGTAAAATCCCCGACCTCTCTGGTCCACCGGAACCGGTTCTATGGCCTGTATGTCCAGAAGGTGTTGGACGGCGTCGCCCATCAGCTTCCTCTTTATTCGATTTCGAGGGTAAGGGCAAGAGATAAAGTGATTCGGGGGATCGGAGATGAACTCCAAATAGAGGCCGTTGCGTATGGTGTTGAGCACCCATGAGTCCGTGCTGGTAGCTTCCCATTGGTGGGCAAAGAGAGATAGTCTGCCCCCTATGGGAATAACCGTCAGGGAGTCACTTGGAGCACCGGAATGGGCGGCCGCTCCCCCGAAAGGGCCGCTTACCCTGAAATTGTTGCCTGGGTTTAGCCGTTTGTGCGTCGTATTGTCTGTCCTGCCTGTCCTGCCTGGCCGGAAAAGGGCGAAAAGGCTGGAAGGACTGGTTGTAAGTGTACCTGTTGTTAGGCCGAAAGGACTGTTTGCGGGGATAAAAGGTCTTACGTTTCTCCAACTTGTTCAGAATGTGGTTGAGGACCTTGCGCTTGTCCTTATTTTCAGTAAGGTACGGTTCTAAGGCCCCACCAAACAGTTTGCCTCCTTGGTATGGGGCCGATGACAGGCGCCACTTTGATTTGACGTCGGCACGCCAATGCTTCAGCCAAAGCATACGCCGCCCCGTTACGCTGGATGCCATAGCCTTGGAAGCAAACCTGGTGGCTTGGAGAGATGCATCTGATGCATATTCAATGGCCGCTATCATTTTACTAAGGTCTTGGTGAGAGCGGACATCCTCAGCTGGGGTCCGGGCCTGAAGCTGTTTGAGCCAGCGATGGGCGGATCTATTAAAGAATGAAGCGGAGGAAGCCGCTCTAATCGCCCAAGCCGCCGCCTGATGGGTCTTACGATAAGCGAGTTCGGACTTACGGTCCTCCGCTTTGAGGGCTTCAGAGACATCTCTGGGTATGGCGGTGGATGAAACCAGGGGACCGAGAGGTTCATCGACTGCAGGTACCTCTAAAGCCTCTTCCAGCTCCTTAGCCACATTATAAAGTCTCTTGTCATTGGTACTAGGCAGAGGGAGGGAAGCTGGGGAAGCCCATTGTTTTTGTATAGCGGTCATGAACATGGGAGGGCATGGGATGCGATGTTGAGCCGCCACTGGCTCAGTAAAATTGGGATCCAACTCCGGATCCAGGGAAACAGTGGCCGCCATTGAAGGAGGCTCAGATCCCCGGTGGGCTGTGGATGCGACCTTCCGGAGCAGGGTGACGAAAGCAGAAGGATTAAACATGCCACTGAATGTCGGAGCATCAGGGGAAGTCTCCTCCTCCTCAGACATTGGAAACCCTTGGTCAGTGCCCTGGTCCTGGAGGGATAGACCCTCTGAGTACGAGGATTCTGATGGTGAGGAAGGTGCTTCATAAGTCTCCCCAGCCTGACCTTGTGTAGGGATGGGATTCGCAATCGGAGGTCTAGGCGGAATCGCCCTGGCGTTCAAGGCGCTATCAACTGCTTGTGCAATCAAGAAGGCCAGGCGATCCTCCGAAGGCATGGGGACAGACTCCGTAGGTCGGAGGCCTGCAGCTGTAGGGGTGAAGGTTGCCTCTGGGGGGCCGTAATGTGACCGCGGATCAGGAGGTACGGGGGAATGAGAGAGTTCTCCCATAGTCCATCCCCTCGGGGAAAAGGCGGGAGGTCCCAAGGGTAGAGTGTATGTTAATCCCTCAGTTTGGGGGAGATCTAATCTAGCTGCCTTTTGTGCTCTAGAAAATTCCTTTTCAAGGGCCTGATGTCTCCGGCTGGCTTGTTTGTCTGCCCTCTTGGAGGTCTTGTTCGTAGACCTGCCCTTGGTTTTAGATGTAGGCATGTCAGGACCCTCCAGACTGGGTGGAGCGGCAGACAATAAGGTGGGTAGAGGAGGCGCAGCGGCTGCTGAGGAAGAATTGGTAGCCTCCATTCTCAGATAGCACAGAGGCTCGAGTGGGACCCCCTGGTATCTAGAGAATACAACCTCTGGGTGAGGACACACGCACTGAGGGTACGTATGGAACCCAGGTACTTTTGGGAACCCACTAAGTATTATTATTGGTCGGAAAAGGACAGGCACACTCCGAGTATGTCTGGAATCCGGCCTAATTTGAGGAGGAAAAGGACAGATGCTCTGATGGAGCACCTGGAATCCTCGTGGCCAAAATGGCAAATAACAGTCACGAAAGGAGTGACTTTGGCCCTTAAATGGCAAGCAAGCAGGCTAGGAGACACGAGGGCCTGAGGAGGAATTTTGTAGGGCTGCTCAGGATCCCTATCACAAGGTAGATCTAACTGTGTGATAATGGGGGGGCAAGATACCAGTCAGAGGAGGTCCGCAAAATGGCGGCCGAACCTCAAAATGGCGGCCCGTTGAATATTGGGCGTTGTGTGTAATGCCAAACCCCCCTTTTTTCAAGCAAGTGACTATTTTTTAAACACCTGAGAGTAAAATATAGTTGGGGAAAGCCCTTTATTTTCTTTTGGAACTGATAGTTCCCCGGCTAATTTCCTCGACGCGCGGTTCAAAATGGCGGCCGCGCGCGATGGCAATAAGCCCTGAGCGAACTGTAAGGCCTCCCCGGATATTTCCCTCGTTGCGCGGTCCAAAATGGCGGTTGCGCGCGCTGGCAATCAACTCTAACGGCGAGCTGCAAGGCCTGAGGGAAACAACTCCGACGATAGAAGGAACCCCCGCTGGCGCGCCTAAAATGCAAATGAGGGACGAACGGACGTTCATCTGTTCCTTAAGCCAGCAGGAGTCCCTTGCCGCTCGCGCTCTTTCCCAGGCCGTTTGTCGGCGATTAGTGAAAGGGTTATCTGCCGAACAGCCGCTTGAACGCCAAGACGGCCCCGACGGTTTAAGGCGCGCGCGCGCGCGTCTCCTCAGCCGGGGTGCCGATTCGGAAGGCCCTGAGTTTGTGGTCGATCCCAAACGGGCCTGCAACGAGCCTCGCTTGCTGCAAGGCAAGTCTTTCACTCCGTTCGTCACTGGGCCGCAGCCGCGAGCTCCGGTGAGAACGGATCCAATAGATGTTGGGAGATGAGAGGGATGAGAAGGATCCCCTTCTACCCTGTCAATACTGGGAGGGGGAAAGGAAGAAGGAGCCCCTTCTATCCTGTGATCACGTTCCTACTCCCAATTGAAGGCTTGGATAAACTATTATTTTCTAACAGTTCCCAAATTTTTCAATTAGACTAAATAGCCAAAGAAGGTGGAGGATTCACCAATAGCCAAGACTATACCTGCCTGAGAGCCAGAGTTATACGTCCGTCCATGGGCAAGATTAAGTCAAGACTGGGATCTATGGTCCAGGACGGGCGTGGCAACTTTGGCTGACTTAATCTGATTGGGCAGGAATACAGTCTACTACCCATGGGTGGATCCTCCATCTCCAGTGCTGGAGAAAAAGGGATTTTACTTAAAAGCCTAAATAATTTCCCCCTTAATTTAAACTAGAATTAAAGATTTAAAAGTCACCCAGGGATCTGATTTCCATATACTTTCAACCTTTTCATTCACATTAACTGTTACTGATAATGAAGGAATGGATGTATATTTCAAAGTAGCCAGCTACTAGAGAATGTAGTTCAATTCACAAGACAAGGCTTTAAGAAAAAATGTTTTTCTGGCACATTGTAATTTTAATTTACTACAAAGCAAAAATCTTGGACAGAAAGAAGGAAAAGTCAAATCATAAAAAGGGGAACACATGAATGCTTTTCTATCTATTTGCATCAGAAAATATCCTAAGCCATTCCTCCCCCATACTGTATTGTAGAGTGAAAATAAGCTTGGAATGTCTGTTTTATCCACAGACATTAGGAAAGAAGAGCAAAACAAAAGAAAGGCAATGGAGGATTGAATGACTTCCTAGAAAACACAATAAATCAAGAACAAGGCATTTCCGCTGCCATCTCTCTGACTGAATTTTAACTGGCTTTCTTTAGTCACCTTGTATATATAAAAGTCATGTAGACAAAAGGAAAACAAGGCAACAGTCAGAATCAAATTTTTATATTTAGCAAAAGGTACATATATCTAGGGACAAGAAGCTAGAATTACATATCTAGATATATGTGCTTGGAATTCATTTTATTAATAGATTATACTATTCTGCCAGATAACCTAGGCTGAGAATAAAAGCTTGCAAGGATTCTAAAGTCATGTAATTCTTATTGAATTGTGCAGTTAAAATTTCATTTTTCCAAAATGATTATTTTAAAATCCTCAACAGAACATCCATGAATGTTGAAAGTCCTAATATTATTTCAAATCTGTTTTGAGTCCTGATGTTAAACTTGTATCCACTGATCCTTCTTGGGCTATTTGCTGTTGATGTAAATCTGGAGAGAAAATGAGCATTTGGGCTTGTGACAGTATCTGGTTCCATTTTGGCATTATTTTGTTGTTGGTTTTTCTTTCTTTTAAAAATCTGCCTTAGGCTAGGTTGCCTCTATTTAAGTATGGGCTTGCTACCCAATCCCTAAAGGGAAAGCTCTCCACTCCATCCCAATTTAAATCCTACTTCAGTTTAGCCACTCCATCCATTTGATGAAGTGAGCCACAGTTCACAAAAGCTTCTTCCTTTTAATAACATTTGTTGGAAGGATCTAATTCTAATAGCATCTTTTTCTACCAATTTTGGAAAGTATAAATTAATTTGGCTTTTCTCCTATAATATTGTTATACCTTTGTTGTCTTAGGAGTACAGAAATTCAAGACTCCAAATCATTTAGATATCTGAGATACTCTAGAAATATTGGTTTTTTAAAGCTCTGAATATAATTCATATTTACTGGATATCAGTACTTTACAAATATCAGCTATTCTATAAACGCTAATTGGCTATAAGATTGCATTTAACTACTGTCTAAGCAAAACTGATTGATTTAAGAGGATCCCAATAAAACAGTAAAATTCATTTTTACAAACTGGGACCTAGCTTTTGTCTTTGGTTTGAATTCTGTGGCAGCGCCTAAATGATGTTGCCTGATCTCACCTGCTAGGCAGGGTTAATTTTGGTTAGTTGCTGAATTTTCAGAGCAGTGAGTTACACTGGAAACTCAAAGTAAAAGAAAAAGAAATAATTCCCAGAAGAAGGCTGTGGCAAACTACTTCTACAACACTGCAAGAAATTGGCACGGATGCAGTAATCAAATGCCACACCAACTTGGTGTCTTTACTGTCCAATAAATTCCAGGTGGCAGCATTTGGCAGCAGGTATATGATTTTTAAAAAGAGAGTCACACCTAAATAGAATTTAAATGGGGGAGTATCCAGAAATACCAAGACTGTAGGCTAAATTGGAAAATCAAATAAACATCCTGGAAAGTGTGTATTTAAAAACCAACACACTCCGTGGGACTTACCTCTAAGCAAGCTTGCGTAGTATTGTCAGTTACTGTCACTTCTCTGAAAAAAATATCTCTCGTTTTCTTTTTTCAGAGTCCAATTTTCTACCTTCTTTGAAAACTGTTAGCATGATCACATTTACAGATAGTCCTCCATTCACGACAATTGAGCCCCAAGTTTTTGTTGCTAAGTGAGACAGTTGTTAAGTAAATTTTGTCCAATTTTTAGCCACAGTTGTTAAGTGAATTACTATAGTTGTTAAGAATATGGCTGTTAAGTGAATCCGGCTTCCTCACTGACTTCGCTTGCCAGAAGGTCGCAAAAAAGAGGATCCCGTGAGCCAGAGACACAGCAACGGTCATAAATATGAATCAGTTGCCAAGCATCTGAATTCTGATCACGTGACTATGGAGATGCTGCAATGGTCGTTGAGTGTGAAAAATGATCATAAGCCACTTTTTTCAGTGCTGTTGTAACTTCGAACAGTCACTAAATGAACTGTTGTAAGTTGAGGACTACCTGTACCACATTTTCAGTGCTATTAATAGTATTATTTCTCTGATATGAAGTAAAAGAAAAGAGGAATGAAACTGTTTACATCAGGAACAATACATATCAAGAATACAAACCAATAAAGAAATTACACATAATGCACTACAAGCTTATCAATATCGTTCAAAGAGCAGAGGTGCTTTAATCCGTTTATTTAGTTTCCTATGGATACTATCTTTACTATCTTTCTTTCTTGGCTAAATTCCACATGCCACATAATTGCTTTCCAGCAGAAGCAATCTGACCTCTTACTTGGGAGTATCAGATATCATGAAATATTACAATAGTTGTTGAGATAACACCCCCCCACACACTTTTTATAAGATAGAATTTTTTATCTGAGGAGATAAGTTTCAATATACAGGTAGTCTTTGGCTTACAACCATTCATTCAGTGACCATTCAAAGTTTCAACAGCACTGATTTATAACTATTCAGTATCCCTATGGTCATGTGATCCAAATCCGGATATTGGCAACTGGTTCATATTTATGGCCGTTGCTGTGTCCCAAAGTCATGTGATCAGCTTTTGCGACTTTCTGACAAGCAAAGTCAATGAGGAAACCGGATTCACTTAACAATTGGGTTTCTGACTTAACAATTGCATTGATTCACTTAACTGTGGCAAGAAAGATTGTAAAATGGGGCAAAATTCTCTTAACAACTGTCTAGAATTTTTTGGGTCGATTGTGATCATACATTGAGGATTACATGTGTTGAGGAGGAAATACATAGTCAAAACAATGCAAGGTTTGGACATCAGTATAGTCAGAGCAAACGTAGACAATGGATTTTTACTGGGTATCTGCTAGAGCCATGGTGGCGAACCTATGGCACATGTGCGACAGGTGGCATGCAGAGCCCTCTCTGTGGGCCCGTGCGCCATCACCCCAGTCCTAGGCCTTCAGCTGGGTTTTATAAAACCTTTTTGCTTTAGGCCTCCACTGCCGTGTGCAAAAAAAAAAGATTCAATCAATCAATCAATTTCAACTTCTTGCGGGGGGAAAAAAGATCTCACAAAGT